ATAATCTTTTGATTTGAATGAGTGTCTATCTATAACATAGTTGTAATTTTCTATAAAATTATATGCCTTTTATTTTTAATTCTTAAAGAAATTTCATCAAGCAAAGGGAAATTTAAATCTATATGAAAAAAAGGTGTAGGAATATTTCCTCTCAATATTTTGTAATAAATAATCTTGGCAAGTAAAATGAGCAAGTTGGACATTGTTTAATATTGCTAGATGGTAAAAAAGGGAAATTTTAATGATTTTTTCATATAAACTAACTCTACAAATTCTATTATCTTAAGTAAACAATCCAATGCATCTTTGAATAAACTCTAGGGTGAACCACTAAATTATTTCCAATCCTTTGAATATCCTTATTCATAATGATAATTAGAATTCATGCTAAACAATTTGGAAATGAGTGCATTCATAAATTTGTACTCACTATATATTTATTATGAGACTATGAATAAGCTTAATTAGTCTACTGTTTCTAATACAGTTTTTTTATTCATTTTATGGATTTTCTTAATAAAATAACACTTTCAGTATATTTGTTGTTTAATTATTAAGAAATGCAATAGTTAGAATTATAGCTAAGGAAGAGTATTGTTTAAGATATTTTAGTGTATAGCGTTTAAAAAGATATTGAATTTAAAGATATACCTAATCCTCTTAATCTTCGATTTTATATATGTCAAACAAAAATACATCCAAATATAATAATATGATTTTTTTAACATGAACATTAATTAATATTAATTAGTATAAAAATGTCTTCTCTTGTTCATGAAAGTGTTTATGAAGGAAACTAACCAATAGAAGCAGAATTAATTTTCATTAATGGGCCTGAATCACAGATTATAGATATGAAATTTTCATCTGTATATTAAATTGTGATTTTAGGATTTAAATTTCATATTACTTGCCACAGAAGAAGGAATTAAATTGTATAAAATACAAGATGATGAAATTAAAATTAACGAAGAAAATCTTAAAATAGGAAAAATTAACTCTATTGACTTCTTTGATAATTCAGGAATTGAATTTGTTATTGGTTTAGATTAAAATATTGTTATTTGGGACTTTTATTAACGCTAAGTTATTAAAAAATTTCCTGTCTTTTAAGCACCATAATAGATTTCATTTTGTAATCCATTTATAATTGCAGGAATGAAATAATAAAATGAAAATGTTATTTTAGTATTAAATGTGAGAGCTGATTAAGCCTATCGATATTTATATACATAAAACTTAAATGGAGAGCTAATTTATGCAAATAATAATAATCAGTTTAATTGCGTGTTAACTTATTTAAATTAGCAAGGGAATTCTTTAATCATAGATTTTTTACATTATTAAGCTTTATAAGGAATCAATATCAAAACAATCACAGCAATGTCTGATGAACAAATCATTGAATATTAACATTCATCTCTAGCCAAGCAATAAACTACTTCCTAATTTAGATTTTATTCTAGTGTTGGATATATATAAGCTTGTATTGCTATATCAAGTGATAGTAACTTGCTTGCAGTTTCTCCATTAGTTGACAATTAAAGAATATATATTTTTAGTCTATCACCATAAGAACAACCTAAATTGAAATATCAATTATATAGAGGACAAACTAAAAAAATATTGAGTTTATATTTTGGACCAAATGAGATGCTTGCATGCATTAGTTTTCAAAGTAACATTCATAAAACAAAAAATGATGCAACTATTCATTTATATTATAAAATGAAAGAAATATTTGACAACGAAAATAAAGATTATAAGAGTTTAACAAGATTATATTTTAGAACTTAATCTAGTGAAACTACTCATAAAAAAAGAATTAGATTAATGTTGCTTTTGATTACATAAGAAAAATTATAAGTTTTTTCCGGTAATCAATTTAGATTTGAGGAGTAATTGTAATTGGACTCAAATTTAGTCACAAAAGTGATAGAAAACTATAAGTTATGGCCAAAAATTGATCCAAGATAGAATGATATTTGACCAATAATTTAATAAAACTCTTCACAAAATTATTGTTATTTTTAATTAAAAAAACTGCTCAATTAATTCATCATGTCTGAACTATATATTTTTTTTATCTTGTTGATATATAAAATTCTATATTCAATCAAGTTCTAAGCAAAAGATCCTCAGCTCAAAAATAATATAAATATATTTAATACATATTAATGATGATTCTAACTGGTAGAAGAAAATCAGAAAAAATAATATCAAGATCATTAAGGCCTTCCTTATTTTTAAATGAATTCGATTTATCGTCCATGCTCTAAACATCTTCAGTGAAAACAGAAGCTAATATTAACCAAGTCTCAAAAACAGAAGCCTAACAAATTCAAAATTCATTAAGTGTAATCCCTGAAAACCCTACATTTTTACTGCTACCATAAATTGAAGAGAAATTTGTTCTAAAATCCAAGGAAGTTAATTTTTCTAAAGAAAAAAGAGAATCAAAACTTTTAAAAAATGTGGCTTCGGAATAACTATTACAATAATCAAAGCTTGATCTTAAGTTACCACTTATATAGCAAAGTCCATAAATTAAGACATTACCTAGACATTCGAGATAAATTACTAGTGAAGATCTTAAAAAAGTCGAATTTAGACCTTCAATTATGGTTATTGACTTTATAAATAACATTGTGAAAAAAGACAAAATTGATGGAAGTTCCAAACCTTTAACTAAGAAACTTTAGAGATAGCAGACTAGATTTATTAAATAAAGTTTATGATTATATTAACCTTAAAGCCTGAATCTTATTTTTTTATCATAATTTAAACATTTCCATAAATTTAATTAAGTTTAACACTCAGTATAAAATATCATTTAAAGTCTTGTTTTATAAAATAAGTGCATTTTAGAAAACAATATCCAAAATTTGGATATAGCTTTGTGTTCTAAATCAATTAATAACAAATATATTGTTATTCTGATTATAATAAGATACATAATCTAAGTAACAATTAAATTTTTGCTTTGATATATATATAGAGTTGCATTGAATTACAATCTCAGTTCATTGTTATTATTTAATTTAATTCAAAAAAAAATAAGAACAAATTTAAATTATTTTCTGGCCCTTCTAAAAAAATATTTTCGATCCTTTTTCTCCCTAAAATCATAATAATGTTAATAAAAAATGTTCTCCTTTCTTTTAAATATTAGTCATCCAAAATTTGTTAGAATTAGAATTAGATTTTTCCGACCCAGATGCAAATTGCAACATTCCCAAAACATAAAAGTTTGATGTATGCCTCAAAATTACTATATAATTATTAACCACTATCATCTTGTTAAGAAATTTAAGATTATCTTTTTTTATATGTCTCAACAAGAAGAGGAGCAATTTAATACTTAAAAAATTATATGTTTTTTTTTTAATCTTTATTGTCTCTGTTTATTCTATTGACAGATATTTATAAGTATTAATTACGCACTTTAGAAGTAACTGTAAGTAAAGAAAAAGATGGTTAAATAAATTATTGTTGAAGTTATAAAATATCAATCATCGTTCATTAGTCGTTGTAAGGTTTTTGATTTTTTCATGCTTGCTTTTATGGATATTTGCTTTTATTAAAACTACAGCTGAATCTTTTTAATTATTCCGTCATAATTAAATATTGGAAAATAAATTGCCATAATGAATTACTTATCAAGATCAAAATCACAGTATTCAACTGTCCTTTCTTCAGCCTCTTCCATAATTATGACCATATCTTCATTTTCATTAGAATTTACATATTGAGCTTTGGATGTTCTTGAATTTAGAGTGCCTGCAACGCTTGAAGAATTCTTCTTTTTCCTAGGACTAGCAGCTAGACTAATTTATTTTTATAAGCTTTTTTGTTTATATAAGCTTACACTAGCCTAACTTGTATAGGATATTTTTTTATTAGATGTAATTCCTAGATTTTAATCAATACTTCTCCAACTATCAAGTTTAGAATTTTTTCTTAATTCTTTCGATTCATTTAATTACGATTACACAAATTAAATTCTTCTTTCAATATTTTAAGAATTTTCCCTTTTTAATTTTCTTAAGATAGGGGTGTTGTCTGTTTATTTCGCATTTGACTAACTATCCTTTTTTTTATTTATGCTTAATTTCTAGGATATTTAAGGGGAAGGGATTGATTGATGAGGAACAATTGGAGGCATTTAACCACTATAAGTCAATACATCATTAGAAAAGCTATCGCTTTATTTTCTAATATTATCTCTATTTGTATTGCTTTTAACAGTAAAAGTATCATTTAGAGCAGTCTACTCTCTTTAAGTATTTTATCTTTATTATCCACTGCCATTTTATTAATCATCTACATCTAATGCAAATCCTAATTGTTGTAAATAAGCATCAGTAATATCTAGCTAATGAATAAATTTTTCATTTATTATCATCGCCAGTGCACACTCTTAAATATCACTGATTTTTTTTCTGGAAGTATATCTAAATATATTCCTATCTGAAAATAATCGATTTTATTCTTTGGTTTCTTTAAATTTGTTCATAATTTTTGTTTTATTAACTTTTATAAATACAAATGGACATTTCTCAATTGAATGAGTCCATTCACAAACCTCACAAACATTTCCAAAAGTTTTATAATTTTCATTAAATATCAGATTGTCTTGTAGCATCTTGATTTTTTCAAGATCTTCTTAATGATCTCCCAAAATGTGTTGAAGATCTGTGTATTCAATATACACTACTTAAGAGAATTTAGAGGCTTTTAAATATGTGATGTAAGTTGTTTATGAAGCAAATTCTCGTTCTCCAATAACTCCTTTTTTCCAACTTTTTAAGACAATATCATTGGCCATCAATTCTAACTTGCCTTTAACTAAGAAAATTAATTTGGATGCTTGTTCATTTTATTTCCAAATGATCTCTTCAGGTGCAAATTTTTATTCATGTGCCACCAAACATAATTTTTATAAACAAGACTCGCACAAATTCTAAAGCACTTTAGATTATTTTAGTATGGAACAATATAAATCAAATGTTACTTTCTGTTTTAATTCAACTGTCAATTTTTACATCAATTCTTCTGCTTCAATCTAGGACTTTTCTTCTAATTATAAATAATGCTCAAAATATTTCCTCACTTGCAATTATAATTGTTTGTTTAGTTTTCGACTCTTCACATAATTAGTAACCAATGACATCTTTTCTTTAAACACTTAATTTTTCTCTTGCAGTTATTTAATTATCTCTCCAACAGTTGACACACTGTATCCTAATACACCACAAACCAATAAGGCCAAAAATATAGTATATATTTTTTCAGGGATTGTTTGAGGGGTTATATCTCCATATCCTATTGTTAATGTTGTAATTGCAGAATAATAAAATGAATAAATATATTTAATTCTCCAATCGGAATCATCAATTTGATAATGAGCAATCCATGAATGCAGTCCATATTCTAATTAAGTTTCTCCTAAAAATGCCCACATACAGGCACAGAAATGGCAGGTTATTAAAATGAAATATATCAATTTAATTAATGAGATTACTGCCTTAACTTGTTGATTTGGATTGATAATCTCTTCTATATTGCCTGCTATTTTTGGTAATCTAAAGATTCTCAATAGTAGAGCATATTTAAAAAATGAAAAATTCAAAGATGAAAGTAAGATTGGGATTACTATTATGATATCAAGAATTAATGTTCCTCCCTTAAGGTAATTCTTAAAGATTTCTATTTGATTTCTATGTATAATTCCTTTTGCATAATAAGCTGTTTGTAATGTAACAAAAATATCCACTACGAACAACCACGAAGGAAGTGTGTTTAAACATAATTAAGTCATTTAATCCATATCAACTGAGAAGCTCAATTCTAATGGTATGTAGACAATATTAATAACGATTGCTAATAGTACTATGATATCCCAAGTTAATTTAATAATTGAGTCAGGCTCAATGATAGGCAAATATTGTATTTTATTCAACATTTTATCGATGCATTATATAGTTTTAACCGTTTTTTTATGATATTAATTATCTCTCTGTCTAAGCAACTCATCAGTATCCGATCCCAAGTCCCGAATGAGATCCAGAATCCTTCTTGTTAATAGTTTAAATTTTATTTTATTTGCACTTGTTTTCAATTATCTTGCGAATTTTGATATATAATATATAATATTTAAAGATTTGTTTCTCCATACATTGTTTAATTTCCCAAATTTATTAGATGCTTGTTTAATTATATTTGATTTCTACGCACCAACTTAACTATTTGAATTTCTATCATATTATTGAATTTACTTGTGTGCATGAAAGGATCCTTATGATAAAAATGATTATTCAATTAGTTCATCTTCCACGTTCTTATCTCCTTACAATGAATTTCTGTCTTGATTATCTCCATATAGAGATTTATTTTTTAGGATTCCTTTCAAAGGGCCTGAAGTCTAATAAAATTATCTCTTTCTTGATTGTACAATAAATAATTACTTAAGTTGAAGTGGGAGAGTGAGAATTAGAAACAGGGTTTAGCATTATTAATTTATAATTAGATAAATTAATCCAATTATCAAATTTCATCATTTGATAAACTAACCAACTTCATAGAGTTTATTATAATTACAATATTAGAAATTACATATCCAATTCCAGATAAAACATTGAAATAATAAAACAACTCCGAATTTTGATTTTTATAATTTAAAAGACCAATTGTTGAGACTTATACCTTTGATTAGAATGAAATACCATTCCTACACCTGAAAATTAATTTAATTATTTTAATTCTGCTTTAAAAACAATTATTTGCCTTATTTATACATAATAATAAATTTTAGAAAAAGTGTAATAATATCGTTCTTCCTTGTTTTTACTTTTGCAATAATTCTGTAAAAATTTCATCGAAACATTAATCTCTATTCATAAATTGCTGTTTAATATTTTGTCTTTGAATCAAAAAGAGTTAAACTAAAAATTTGATTTATACTGAAATCGATATATATAAATACTTATATCATTGAAAATAATTACAAAATTTCTAATCTATCCTACCAAAATAAAGAAGGAAATTCGATATTGATAACACTATAAAGGAATAAAATGTGAAAACAACAGAATCTTTATTCCTCTAAAATTTCCCAGTAAACCCATTAAGAAAGTGATTATATAAATTATAGTAACAAAATCAAAATTATTAAAATTTAGATGCGATGCAATTGAGCTATTTTTTTATTCTTAATACTATTCATTAAGTTAATAAATTGTGGATAAAATTAATCATGAAGAATTTCCTTACACAAATGCCCATTTGTAAGGTTACTTTTAAAAAGTAGAATATGAAAAAGCTATTTTATAGTTACTTCTTAAAATCCTTAATTAAAAAGGCATTCCCAATTTCATCTTAGACATACTTCCATGTAAACTTAACTTATGTTCATAAATCTGTTTTCAGCCTAGGGTTTAATTTTGTCACCAATCAAAATATATTTAATAAGAGAAAGTAAATAAGTAAGGGTAGCAAAAAATGAGAAATGGACACAGTTTTCACTCCGTATATAATATTATCCATTTACAAAGGTAATATGATTTAGGTATATCGTAGCTAGTATAGCTTGTATGCTATGGAATATAAGGGTGATTAAATATATCAATTTGTTTTTCTCACCAATACATTTGCCAAGTATAAAATTGTGATGATCGTATGCTAAAATGCAAGCCCCACATTTTACACAGTGACGAGATCTTAAGATTTGATCAATCAAACACGAAATGCAATATAGCTATTCTAAATATACAACAGATTATGGTTATGGTTTAGACTATTTTTCTTGTAATTATGAATTATCCTATTAAATGAGGGAAGGGATTTCAATTTATTTTTCTTCCTTTATTGATTCATCTTCTTTGATTGAATTAAGATGCTTTCTTTTATAAATTACAAGAGATGATTGCAAAATTTTAGCAGCTGTCTTATTGGTTTTATCAGTAAAATGAAATTATTTATCTCCTTGAGGAGTAAAAACTTAAACTTTTTATTCGCTATTGATTTAAGTCGAACAAAGAATACCAGGTCCTTTGAAAAGCAAAAAGAAAAAGCTGAGTGTACTCAAAATCGAAAATATTCTTGAAATAATAATAGCATAAATACTTACAAAGATAATGTTACTCGGCATGAAATACATATCATCATCTAAAAGCATATATATAATATTATTCTTATTATAGTCAACATATAATTAATATTATTTAATTAGTAATCTATAAAATGAAACTAAAGTAAAGAGAATCCATACTCAATTCATAGGTCAGAGGCTTAATAATAGAATGGTCTTAAATTAGATAACCTTAGTTACTGCATATTTATATAATAATCAAATATTAAAATAAATAAAATGATTAATCATTTAGAGTAAAATTGTGAATACCTCCATCATTTGCAAGATGGGCAATGTTTTCATGATGATCTATTCCCTTTAACTCTTTACAATAGTCTAGGATATCTATTAATAATCATCATATTGGGTTTATCAACAGTGGGTGGATTGGGAGGAGGAATTGAAAAAATACCAATCTTAATTGTAATGCTGAATTTTTCTCAATCTAAAGCAACACTCTATGTGTATGTATTGACCTTTGGAACCAATCTAGTTAATTTTCTCATGCTTATATACTAAAAGCATCCCTTAGCAGATAAATAAATAATTGATTATGAACTTTCGCTTATATTATTACCGACTGCTTTATTTGGAAGTGCTTTTGGGAATATATTACATTAGATTTTACCAGACATCTTCCTGATATCTATTCTTATTGTTTTTTTCTCAATTTTTGTTCCAAAATTGTACATTAAAGCTAAATAAAATAGAGAATAAGAAATGCAAGTTGATAATAAATAAAAGACAGTCATTAATTAAGAAGTAACACATTTAATTGCTGAATAATATAAATCAGAAGACTAACAGATAATTCCTTTATATAAATTTTTGCTATTGTTAATAATATTTATGATAGTTTAATGTGTTTTAATGATTAGAGGAGGAAAGAAATAGCAATCTTTTATAGGAATATAATATTGTTCAGATGGTAAATTAATAAATAATAACTAGGCAGTCTATTGGATTACTACTGGAATGATTATTGTAGTATTATTGTTGATTTCTTATGGAATCAAGTATCATTTAGGTAGAGAAACAAAAACAAAAATAGAAATAGGATATTTCAATGAAAAAGTGGATTTTAATTTTATTGAATCAAAATTCTTCATGATTGTTTGGATCTCTGGGTTTTTAGGAGGAATTATGGGAGGAATGACAGGAGTAGGAGCTGGAGCCATTATTGTTTCAATTCTGATCCTTTAAAACGTCAATTCTAGAGTAGCATCAGCAACAGGAGGATTTCAAAAGTTGTTTATTTCCTTGTTTACGACAATCCTCTCATATTAATAAGGAGATTTGAATAAAAATGAAATTCTATTTTTTTTTATTCTTGGATTGCTTAGTGGATTACTGATTGCAGGACCAATGTATTACTATTTAGAATTAAACCCAAAACAAAATTATTTAGTAATCTACTTGGTGTGTATATTCTTGGTTATAAGTGCTATTTCAGGTGCCATTTATATATTTAAAGAAATTGTTATAATGGATAGATGGAATAAAATGATTTAAACTCATACATTTTGTTGAGTATAATTTTTATTATTAATTTTAATAAAAAATATGTAATAATCTAGTTTTTATATTCTTCATTTTAATGATGTCTACGACATTGAAGAGTAATTACATGAACCAAAAGGAGGAGCAGCCAGATTTTTATATGTTATGAATTAACTTAAATAAAATTTGCCAAACTCCTTAACCTTATTTTCTGGAGATGTCTTTAGTCCATCCAGTTTGACTCATATTTATCATGGTACTATAAATTCAACTCAAATAGGTTCCCATATAATATACCCACTCTAACAATTTAACATTGATGTAGCTTGTCTTGGCAACCATGACTTTGATTTTCCATTGGATCAATTAGAAGATTTACTCGAACAATCAAACACACCATGGATATTGAGTAATGTTTATGATAAAATAACTCAAAAGCCCCTAGCAAATGTACTTCCATATAAAATATAATCAATTGGAAATTTTAATATTGGATTCATCGGATTAGCTGAAGAAGAATGGTTAGGTTTGATAACTGACATTCCTGCAGCTCAAATAGAATATAGAAACTTTATTGATGCTGCTAATGAGCTTTGCAAATATCTTAGGAATGATCTTCAATGCAATTTCATTATTGCCTTAACACATATGAGAATTCCTAATGATTAAATTTTAATTAATGCTCTAGACGAGGGATTAATAGATTTAGTTTTGGGAGGACATGATCACCTATGGCATCATGAGTAAATAAAACAGACATTTTATTGTAAAAGTGGAACCAACTTCAGGAATTTAGGATTAATTAAAGTTTCTCCAAAAAATAATGATGATTTATTTCAGCCACAAACATTAAATTTATAATTTGAAGTTCCCCAGCCTATACAATATTAATTAAAAGAATATAACATTAGTTATTATCCAATTAATATTTATGGTAAAATTCCAGTTGACCCAATTATGGATGAATTTGTACAATAAAAAATTAAAGTTTACAATGAAAGTATTTTTATAAATGAAAATTAGAAACTTAAAAAATAATTGGATTTATAGAAAATGATCTTGAAGCAAGATTTGTTATAGTAAGAAGTGAAGAGACAACAACAGCTAATTTATTTTCAGACATAATTAGATTAGAATTTTAGACTGACATAGGTTTTATATTAATATATTTATATTCTAGCTTTGATAAATTGTGGTACTATTAGAGCAGATGAGTATTTTTAATCTGGCCCTATCACATATCAGACTCTAGACAAACTATTTGCCATTCCAGATAATCTTGTAAGCTTTAAAATCTCAGGAGAAAAACTATTACATTTACTAGAGATTAGGTATCAAAATTTATTATTATTTTAGCGTATCTAAACTTCCTTCAACTGATGGAAGATTTTTAGGAGTTTCAGGAATGAAATTTGAATACTCACTTTAAAAAAATCCAATGAATAGGATTTCTGCTGTAACAATTAATAATGAACCCTTGGATTTATAAAAAATATATACCTGTGCCACAAAATAATTTATAGCTGAAGGAGGTGATGGATATCCAATGTAAACTGAATTCTTACTTGATAAAACATTAGGAATTTAAATAAAATCTGTCTTTGTTTAGTTTTTTGAAGGAATCAGGAAATTAAAAATAAAGTTTAATACTCTGGAAGATTTAGAATAAACTAAATATAAAAGATATATGTCAATAATATCAGGACTAAAAGAATATTAAGGTGATATATATATAACAGTGAATCCATAAATTGAAGGTAGAATTAAAGTATTTAATTGATAGAAGTGTATATTATGATTAATTGTAAATACTTTTAATTTTTCTAAATTTAACAGAGTATATTTATGCATTAAAACTACATTTCATAATTTATTTAAAATATAATTTATAAACACATAAATTCATTTCTTCTTCTTTTATTTCACTTAGGATGATGATTTTTCATCATTATTTATAATTGTATTGGGAGCTATACTATTCTATAATTCTAAAACTTGTTTCATGAATTCAGAATTTTTATCTTTCACTAATGACCTTAAATCTTTATTTTGTTAGGCTTGCTTACAAATTTCTATTTTTAATTGTGATTATAAAATACATTAAAAATGGCTATGCTCTGAAGTTATATCTTTTGAAATTTTGGTTATAAGACTTGAAAAAGAGCTATTGCCAAAAGAGTCTATGTATTTATCTAAAGCATCAGAAGTTTAAGGATCTAAATATTTATTCCTTAATTATATACACTTTTACTAGTTGTTGCATTTTTTTCATTTTCTCATCACTTTCTTTATTTTCCTAAGTTTATTTATTTTGCTTTGCTTATTTTGTTTGTCTTGCAAATTGATATCCTCTAGTAATCAATTTTAGCATTTTTATTTAATAAAATTAATAAAAATAGAGACATAAATATAAAAATTATTTCAAATGTAGATAAATAAATATTTGTTTCGAGGTTGTAAATAGATGAAGAACTATTTGAAGCTGAAGAATTAATATTATGAAAGAATACTTAATGAAAATATTGTAAGTCTCTTATATTATTCATATTAAAATGCACGATTGTCTATCCAATTGTTATTATAGGGATGTTGTGGATAATTTGGTTACAGGGTAATTTTGTCCAAAAGCCTAGTTTGTAGGTTAAGATGCAGAATAATTAAAACATTATTTATTGTATTTATCTTAAAACAAACAGTCTTTAATTTGGGTTTATTCATTTAACAACTAGGTACGCCTGTAATTTAAAGATTCTAAATCCTTTTTACTTTGATCGATCTGTTATTAACGTAAAAGATTTTCATTTTAAATTTTTTATCGTTCTTTTTAATCTTAAAGTTATTTTTTCTCAATTGCTAACATCCTATTCATTATTGTTTACTTTTGAATGATTAAATTGTTTTGGAGTAATTATGAATTAATCTTTAAGAAATCTTTGATTTAAATAATATCTTCTTCTTACGATACAAATTTAAAAATCTTTAAAAAGATGTCAATTTCGATTTTCTAATTATTTTTCCACCCTAATATTGCTGCAATCTCTTACATTTAATCTAATAATTCAAGATGCCAAGAAAAAGCGTTTAGATGAAGCTATTTTTTTATAAGTAATTCTATGATGTAAAATTTCTCATACAACGCTTCTATACTTTATTAATTTAAATTATTCAGAAAATTATCGATATGCCAACAGATTTCGCTAACTAAATTTTACATAATTGAATTGCATTTGTTATGAATTAAGTTTGCTAGCTCTGCTTATTTTTAAAATTGAGTTGGTTTAAATTTGATCGGATTTGATTTTTCAATAACTTTCCATATTTATTTTCTATTTGCTTAGTTAAATATCATTTCAAGGTCTCTGTCATCTTTTATTTTTCTTATTACTGCTATATTTTCATTTGCTGTTTCTTAAAATTCGCTCAATTAATATTTTACATCAACAATAAGATCTTTATCATTTAAATCATCCATATACTAATTGAGCACTAATGTTACTGAGGAAAAGTCTGATGTTTTTTAGCCAAAGCATCGAGCAATAAAGCTCTAAATTTCAGTAGCTCTATTAGGCAAAATTCCATCAGTAGTTTTAATAACATTAATGATTCTAATAGGAGTTTTTATCACTAATCTATTGAACAAGATTGATATAAAAGATTATGACATAGCTCCTTCCGTATCATTAAATCCAGGAAAGTCAATTAATAAGCAGTTATTATTTTTATTATAGTAATAATGAGGTTCCTTTGTTACTGATTTTACTCCATTCGCCATATCTGAAGCATATTTTTGATTAGGGTATTTTAGAGCGAGAAATTTAGATTTTTTATTTTCTTCTTATTTTATTTAGAATTCAAACCCTGAGAGGAAATTAAATAAGGTGCTTTTCCCATTTGCTGTATATCCTACAAGCATTGCGACTGTTAAATTTTAAGATAACTATTTATCAAATGTTATCAACAATTCACTTATCCTATCAATCATCTTTTCATATATTTGGTATTAATCATTTTCTTAAATCATATTAATAATGATTTTTTCGAATAAAATTAATGTTAAATACACAAATACATTCATTTTTTAATAGAATTACAAATTATTCAAAATAATATATTTTAAATTTGCTTTATTGAATATTTATACTAGTTAAATAAATAGATTCAAGCCAAACTCAAATGTAAGAAATCTTCAAATCATCCTAAATTTTGAATTTTCTATGGCAATCTATTTAATCAGAAATAAAGAATTAAAAAACTATAATAGTAATTTTACTAGGATCTCAAAATAGTGGCAAGACTACCTTTTTTCAATATCTAAAAACAAATAACATAATTATTTTAGATAAGGGCATGTATAATAGAAATAATTAACAATTGTTTGAGTCCTTTAAAATCAATGAGCTTCAACCTCATTTATTTTTGGATTTCAATTATACTCTTATTTTAAAAAACGATAAAATGAATCTGGTTTTTGAAGAATTGTTTTTAAGATTAATTGATAAATATGAAATAAAAATTGTATATATTTTAGAAAATCCTGAAAATTAACTATTTCAAAGAGGAGCATAATTATAAGAATTTATACAGAAATATTTGGGTGGAAATAAAATTAATATTTAAAGATTAAATATTATTCTAAATAATTACTAAGAAGATTTAAATGATAGAGATTTAATTTTAATAGTGCAAAAACAAATGGAATTTATATATGAGAAGTTTAGCAAAGATATTTTTGTTTTTAGAAAAATAAAAACAATAGAATAGCTACAGAAAGAGTTTACAATTGAGAAAAGAAGTAAGATTTTGACTTCTATATTTGAATCATTTTAACTTTAACTTCAAAAGGATTACTTTACTTTAAATTATGAGCAAGCATATCAATTAGAGGCTATAATAAAAATGACATTCATATCAATTTTAGAGAAAATTTAAGTGAACGGTATGACAGCAAATCAATTAAACTAAGATGAGCTTAAAAACCTAAAATAATTTTATTCAGCAATATTAAACCATACTTAAAATACAGATCCCCTATTTTTGTGCTTTTATTCTCAAGAGTGGGATAAGTTAGTAAATGAAACTGCCTCACTTAATCATTCAGATATCAATAATTATAATTGCCTAAAAGAGATTTTACCTTAATTTAAAAGCATAATTTTAAAATCTAAGATTTTTGAAGAAGTTAATAAAATGATTAAGAGTAGCTGTTAAGGTTTTAATCTAAAATGTAGAAACCTATATTAAAGATGACTCAAACTACAATAGTAATCTTATGGTTGATAAAAAAATTGAAATGAATTTTGATTAAATAGAAGCAAACATCAATAAATATCAATAATTATACAAGATTTAGATATAAGAATTAAGCTGTATTATCAATAATGAGTATCAAAAATAACCTTGTGAAAAAACAAAAAAGTTAAAAATTATTATGGATGTATTAGACGAATATATTAGTAAGTTAGAAGAATTGAAAAAATATTAGGAAATTTAGGAGTAAGAAAAGAAAATCTTTATCAGTAAATAAAACTAAATTAATTGTTACATATTTTGATTAAGTGAATAAATTCTTCGTTAATAATATTTCCTATATCATTTTTAATATAATATCCTTCCTCTATTTAAAAAATGATCAATTAATAATCGTATTATTTAATTATAATATATAATAAGTATTGTTATATATATAGAAATACAAATATTTAATAATATTTTATTAATAAATATGGATTTTATAGAGGAAGATGAAATAGGATAACTCTGTTTGACAAAGCAATTTTCAAAGGAAGTTAGTTTGGATTCATTTGAAATGAATTGTGTGATAGGGAAGGGACAATATGCCAAAGTGCTATTGGTGAGAAAGAAGGACACAAAACATCTTTACGCATTAAAAGTGCTCAAGAAATCGGGCTTAAAACAGGATGCACGAATTGAGCGCAACATAATGGTTTGGCTTATCTAATTAAGATTGAAATTTAACATCCATTCATCATAAAATTAGTGTACGCGTTCCAAACTGCTAGCCATTTGTATTTTTGCATGGAGTATTGTCCAGGTGGAGAGATGTATTATCTCTTGAGCAAACAAAAACATTTTAGTGAACATACGTGAGACATGTTTTTTTAATATATTTTAGAGCTATGTTTTATGCTGCCTAAATCATTCTAGCATTGGAGTATCTTCATAGTAAAGGGATAATTTTTAGAGAGTTAAATTTGTAAATAATTTTAGTTTAAAACCAGAGAATATTGTTATATGTTAGGATGGATATGTGAAATTGACGGATTTTGGTTTATGCAAGAAGGGAGACTTCACTAATATTTCAGGGGCCTCATCCATATGCGGAACTCCAGCCTACATGGCACCTGAAATTCTATTATCAAAGCAATATGGTAAAGCAGTAGATTGGTGGGCATTCGGTTGCTTCCTATATGAAATGGTAGCAGGACACCCTCCATTCTTTGCATCAAATAAATAAGATTTAGAATATAGCATTGTAAATTCTCAGCCAAATATGGGTCATTTTTCGATCAAACTTCAAGATCTACTATATAGATTGCTAGAAAAGAATCCAAAGAATAGATTGACCACTAACGTTAGAGATCATTAATGGTTTAATATTGACTTTGATGCCATACTAAATAAGAAAGAAACTGCCCCATTTTTACCCACCTTGTAAAATGAGGCAGACGTAACTTATTTTGATCCATAATTCATTAAATCCAGTATGTCTGAACAATGTAGTATCATTGATGAATTAGATTCATGTTTTAATATTTGTTTAAATTTTAGATAAGGATTTCACATACAAAGGATCATAAGAGTAATCAGTGCAGCAATCATTTTAAACTCTAAGTCCAGAGATTATTGGATTGAACGAAAATGGAGAGGCCAAACAAATGATAAAAGTAGAGTCAACCGAAATGATTAATTAATGAAATTTAATGTTAAATTAATGATATTCATCATTCTGCCAAATATGGTAAAGAACTATCGCAATCCTTTGAGACAAAAATAGCAAAAAAGGAATAATAGATTACAGGGAAATATTTTCCCACAAATCTGTTATTCCAACTAGATCTATCTACATACAAACTCAAATTGAAGATAAAAATAGAAGAAACATAAACATATGGGATTATTGCATTTCTAGGATATTTTACAAAAATAGCATGTGTAGAACAAACCATTATATCCCACCAATTAAGAACATATCTACTCAACAAAAATGGTTACACCACTATTGCTATCTAAGAAGAGATTATAAATTTATAAATACCATATGATGAAAAAAGTAAGGGAATCTACATTCACTTAAGTAGGTACCTTCACAAATAGAAATTAAGGCATCAAACAAATAATAAAATGGGGCATATATTGTCTAAGTTTAATTTAATTTTACTAAAGTAAAAACGATCGCATTCATAAATTTCTACTACCCTAACTAGAGATGTTTTTAGTAATCAAATATATGCAGATAAATTCTATATAGCCCTATTATCCAAAGGGGAAATATGGCTAAAATGGAATAGTGATACCTATTGTAAATAGATTTTATTACCAAATCCAATCATTAATATATCTCATAGTAATTGAGTTAAGTTCAAATTCTATGTTTGCCCATAAGAATGTCATTAAAAATAAATAAATTATCAAATAAATTTATCAAAAGGGAAATTGTCCTCCTCTCCCAAATGGATCTGGCCATGGTTTCTTGTTACTAGGTTCTCCAAACGGGTTGATATCAGGTTCAGGGCCAAAAGGGTCAAATCTTGCACCTGGAGGAGCAAATGGGTTGGATTATTATTATTGTTATTGTCTTTAATTAAAGTTCTAAAAATGTTGAGGGCCCATCAAGTTTCCACCCATACCTCCTCTATTATCAAAAGGTGTTCTGGCAAAGGGATTTAAATCTTGAGTACCTACTGAGAATGGTTGATTCCTAGGGAGATTCCAAAGTAAGCCTGAGGGTTACTATTATTAGGGTGGTTATTCTAATAAAATATTGGTTTATTTTTCTATCTTTTCAGGTTCTTGCTTTTTCATTATAATTTTTTATAAAATTGATTGTTTGTAAGCACTAATTATATTTGATTTAAATAGTAAATCCTAATTGTCAAAATTTAACTGTGAAATTGGAAGCCTATAAGAATATATCTAGTCATTTCTTCCTAGAATAACTGCATTAATGGATAAAGTATCATTTTGTTCTGGAAGTGTTAAAAATTTAAATTAACATTATTCTTTATTTTAATTGATATATCTAAGAGAGTATACCCCTAAGAATTGTTGTTAATAGAATACCCTCTTCTGGCAAGTCCCATCCTTCAGCTATGCCAACCCATTCATGACTTTCATCATTTTCATTTATTCCATTATTCTTGAGTCCTTCCTTGACATTAATACTGTGGATTAGCAGGATTGTTAATAAGGTTTTATTTGTTGGTTAGTCTGGAAGCAGAAATAGTATTTCATTATAAACTTCTTTAAGAGTTGTCATTATATAAATATAATAATAATAATATTTAGTTATTAATAATGAATTAATATCAAGTTTAACCAAAGGAATAGGAACTTCAAGATCTCACTTAAAATAACTATGAAAATGCTTCCAATTAATTTGCCCCTTATGTAAATATGTAGGTGTATTCTCAATAACAATAATACAATTAAACTGCTTATAACAATAACTATGCAGAATTAAATGAGGGTTAAGACAAGAAATTGGAAAATAATTTTGATAATTTCAAATAATACATTTCAAATTTGCAATAAAATTTCTCAGAAGAATCAGTTGGATGTCAATTTTTCACAATTTGCAATACCATTGTATGTTTTGTAATATTATGTGTTATCATAAAATCACTTTGAATATTAAAGTAAAATGAAATTATGATCATATTTGATAAAGTATATTTGAAATTATTTACATCTTCTTTGTTTTGAAATTCTCTAAATTTAATTATTCATTTATCTTTCTTTGTTAATATTATTAATTATTCTAGAATTTGAGAAATAAGTTCAATTTGATTAATTACTATTGCTATTTGTTAAATAAATAGCTCATAAAATATCATGTCTAAATATTTAAATTATCATTTTTAATATGAAATATGCATTTTGCTACTACTTTAGTATTAATGATTAAATTAATAAATCTTCAATTGAGTGAAGAAATATAAAAATAATAAATGAATTTGCTGAATTAATTTAATAATTTTGTTTTTCATCACTTCATATTAGTTATCATTAAATTAATATGGTCAATAAAAATATCTATACATTAACGATAAATCAATTAAATTCATTTGTGAAGATATTTATATGTATAAAAATATAATGATAATCTATATTCTAATAGGGAAACATATTGATAAAGTAAATCTACTTTTCTTAATTACAAAAAGGATTATTAGATATTAAATTTGAAAATTGATATCAAAATTCATCGCAGTTTACTTGTATAATGTACAGTTTTAGATTTCTTTTATAAGAATTAAAAATTTAGTAGCTTTGTTAACTATTGAATTGTTATTAATACTATTACCCAATTAATTAGTAAGAAAACTTTTAGATATATAGACATAAGGCCAAATTTGATTTAATGATATTTAGAATATTCTTGTATTTTCTCAAGAAAATATAGAAAATTTAACTTCATATAAGGTATCATTGAAGTTTGAATTGTAAAAGTATGTTTGGTATAGTTAAAATGATTTCAGCTGATTGATTTATTTAAAAAGCGAATTAATATCAGTTATTTCATAAAGTTATTGATATAATTAACATATGAATAGATTTAAAAAATATTTAGAATGTGATGATGATTAGGTTTTAGATATATATGATCAATTAATAGATGAGATTTTATAACACCAAAACGAACAGGAGCAGCTTATTTTGAATTTAAAAGATCACATGCAATTGGTTGAGATTAAAAAAAAAATCAGAATCTTATAATTGATAAATGAAATCATTTGTTGTAATGATACAAATTTTAAATCATTAATACAAATCCACTTTTTGGATTTACTTAAAGAATATTTTGAACATCAAAGTAAGAGTCTTTAATCTAATTATTTGTGTTAAGAAGGTATAAATATAAGTTAATCTTAAAGATGAAGTTGAAGTCATTGAGCTCTATATGTTTGTAAACAAAATATTAGCATATTACGATCCTGGCTAAATAGAAAAACCGAGACTAAGTGTGATGAAACCAAAAAGTGAAGAATTCAAATTTTAATTTGAATCTCGAGCTTCAATATTCTTGAATGATTAAGAATAGAAATATGAAGAAAAAGAAATATAGACTGATGAAGATTAAGAATTGATAAAATGGAAAAATAAATGGGAACTATAATTTCATTACAATTAGAGATTGCAAAAAATTAACTAATAATTACGAAAAGAAATAGCAGATTATTAGAAGAAACAAAATCAAACTTCTTAAACAATATAAAAACCCTAATCTGCAATATATTTGCAACAGCATGCAAAATTAAAAAATGATTTAAGTGTATCATTTGGGTAATAGCAATCTTAATCATAATAATTAATGAAGTTTGAAGATGATGAGGAAGATCAAATTATAATAAGTGATATAACTGAAAATACTGATTAAACAAGTCAAATAAAACAAATTTCATCGATTTTAAAAAAGAATGAAAATGATAAAAAATAAAAGAAGAGAGTTTAATTCGTCTAGAGAAAACTTAATGTTCAATGTTACAATTATTAGAATCTGCTGAATGAAATTGAATAATCAGAATTACAATGTTTAAAGAAATGTTGCTTTTCTAAATACGGAATCATTTACGATGACAGATCAATATAAATATTACTATAGTTGAGTGACTCTGTTGAATTCGAGTCATCCTTAACAATATTGAATAGAACAAATGATGACATCAAATTATCTCTGATCTATAAATAACCGGTCAATATTAGTGTTAGAATTAGAGATCTGGTCTTGAATTCCAAAAAGTCCCTCAAGTAGATTATTTACAATGATAAGGATGAACTTTTACAATTGTAACTTAATTATGAGTTGAACCAATAAAAAATAGACAAATACATTTTAATACCAAATTTATTACACAAATACTTACAATTCAACAAATTTACAGAGGCAGCATATCTACAACACATGGATGAAATCAAAAACAATGATACACATACTATGTTAATCAGTTAATGTCCCAATGTCATTGTGGATGAGGAGAAAATTATGAAGATAATTCCTAATTATATCACATCTAAAAAGAAGTACTTAAGCAGTATGAATTATAAATCTATTCAATTTTATTGTAAAATTAAATCTGATAAGAATCAAACCGAAGTTAAGTTGCTGATAGATTCAAATAATGAACAGTTTGGAACAAAGTTACTCCAATAGCTAATATTCTTGTTGATTATTTAAAAGAAATGAAACATTAATATCTATTTATATGGTATGTATAATCTTGGTTTACGCCGTCAATAAATAATTAAACTTCCTGCATAAGGGGAGTTTTAGTCTTTAAAAATTAATTGATCTTCTCGATCATTTTGTTAATTAATTATTGATTTAGATATTTTTGATATTAATTTATATATTCTTATTATTTTATCATAAATCTTTTATCGATGACTCACTAAATGGCAAAGTTGTACACATAGGATGGAACTGGTCGGGATTCGTATATATTTTTCAACAATGGAGGATTTTATCCTGCACAATCCAGATTTTTGGTTAACAGGATGGCAGAGTCATGTATGTAGTAAATTAATTTTGAGGGGCTTATGGATCTCCAAGTAGCGTGCGTCTAGGAGGTTCAATTGAAAAAAGATAGTTTTATTTTTCTGATGGTACAGGAAGAGATACCTACATCGCAAAAACAGTTTAAAATAAAGCTTAATTGTCACCAGATTTTTAGGAAACTTTAAGAAAATACAAATCGTAACAATTGCCAATTAAATATCCCTATAAATTGCCTCCAATTAAGTAGGCTGTTCAATAAGAGAAATCGGTTAAGCAACAAGAATTTACAAAAAGATTAGCTGCTCCAAAAAAACGATTGGAAGATAATGATTGATTTAAATAATAAAAAATATATATATAAAGTGGATATAAGTTACATGAAATATTTGATAATTTATATATTAAATGAGATTCAAAATTAAGGTTAATGAGAATACTAAGCATGCCGATATTTGCACTTCTGTAAAATGGGGATTGAACAATGAGGCATATAGGTATAATGTCAATTTTGATGATTTTAGTTTGAGTGATGATTATACAATTTTGAAATGGGATCCTAATTCATTAGAGGTAAATTAAATTGTAATGTAAAGTCATCGAAATTCGTGGATTTGGAGGGATATGGCACAGACTTCGATTTCTTGTAGGGATAGAGGGGATCAACAGATCTAGTAGCTATAGCATTTAGTGATGGCTCATTCATATTGTAATAAAAGACAGGAAAGGTGGAAAAGAAGGAGAAGGAAGCACACAAGGGAGCTGTAACTAATCAATTATTAAATACATAGATCATAAGTATCAAGTGGAGTGTAGATGGATCATTAGCAACATGTGGTGAGGATGGTGCTTTAAAGATTTGGAGTAAAACAGGAATAATCAGATCAAATTTAGTATAGATAGATAAACCAATATATTGTATTGTTTGGAGTCCAGACAATGATGGTATACTCTATTGTTCTGATAAAATGATCTACATTAAGCCATTACAAGCAGGTTAAAAATAGGTGCAATGGAAGGCTCATGATGGTTTGGTTTTGAAGGTGGATTGGAATCACACAAACAATTTGATATTGTCATGTGGAGAGGATTGTAAATACAAAGTGTTTGATACTTACGGCAGATTATTGTTTGCATCGGCTCCATATGATTATGTGATAACATCAGTTGCATGGAGTCCTAATGGCGATTACTTTGCTGTGGGTGCATATGATATGTTGAGACTCTGTGATAAAACAGGTTGGACCTATTCTTTTCATAAAACTAATTAAGGAAGTATTTTAAATATAGCATGGACAAGTGATGGGACTATTTGTGCAGGAGCAGCTGGTAATGGCAGTGTGATATTTGGTCATGTAGTTGAAAGATGTATCACTTATGATAAGTGGGAGATCACCTTGACAGAAGATAATAAGTATAAAAATTTAAATTAAATTCAGAATTCAAATTATTGATTTAATAGATGAAATGAATAGTGAGTTCGATTTCAAAGAAAGAGTAATTAATATGTCTATGAAATACAACAATCTCATAATTACAACCAGTTCACATTGTTACATCTATTCTTTTAGAAACTGGAACACTCCATACATCTTCGACATCAGAGACTCAGTCAGTTAAATTTGTTAATGTGCCAATTACTTTTGCCTAGTCGAAGTAAGTTCAGGAATCATGGTCTACAATTATGAAGGCAGATTGATCAGCAATCCCAAAATCTAAGGAACTAAATGTACTGATTTTTATTACATTCTTAGTTGAACATTTATCTCATAAAAAGATAGCTATCTCTAATGATTTATTAGCATTAGTTGATGGAGGTAATAATAAAGTTGTCAAATTCTACGAAATGAACTCAGGGAAAGCTTTGAATTTCACAGTTGAACATTCCTTAGAAATTCTTGAAATCAATTTAAATCAAACAGAAATGATCGGAGAAAGGAAATTGGCCTTTGTTGATTAAAACAGAGACTTACATATTACTCCTGTTCATAAAAAAGATATAGTTAAATTGGCTGCCATGACAGATTCATTTTTATGGAATGAGAAATTTGATATGTTATGCGCTATTTCCGATCAAAGATTCGTTGTCTGGTACTATCCAACATCAGTCTATGTGGACAGAGATCTATTAGAATAAGTTAAAGTAAGTAAGGAGTGCACCGATCTAACCAGAAACTCATAAATTTTGTCATTCTAAGACACCATGGTCTAAATCCGTAGAAAGGATGGTGCAATTATGACTTAAAGTGTTTCACCATATCCTGCATTACTCTTCGAAGCTTGCGAAAGGGGAAAATGGGAGAAGGCTATCAAATTATGCAGGTATGTCAAGGAACACACATTGTGGGCTGCACTTGCTGGTCTTTCACTTTAATTTAAAGAACTTAATACAGCTGAAATTGCTTTGGCTGCAATCGAAGCTGCCGATAAGGTTCTCTTCATTTAAAAGATTATCAATGTCGAATCCGAGAAAGCCAAAAGTGCTCTCCTGGCTTTATTCTTCAAAAGACCTCAAGAGGCTGAAAATATCTACACACAAGCTAAATTGTATTATAGAGCCATTAAAATGAATATCAAATTATATAAGTACTGTTTTCATAAGCTAATTATCTTAGATGGGAAAGGGCTCTTGATTTGGCTCTTCAATATAATGTTCATCAAGACACTTTGCTAGCATACAGACAAAAATACCTTGAATTAACAAGCTAACAAGAAACCATACCCAGATTTGAAAAGCTTGCTTATGATGTAATTATGTTGAGTAATGTTAGATCAAAAAGTATGATTGGGTAGAAATTAAAAATAAAATTAAATAAGAAAAGGCGAGAGAACAATAATCATGAAATATTAAAACATAAATTCAATAATTCATTTATGAATGTCTTTCTACTAAAGATGGTCTTTGCATTTCTTGATCTACTAGTTTATCGAATTCATTTTAGAATTAAACCTAGTATTTCTTTATTTGCTACTCCAGTTCATTGTTTTCATTTTGCAATAATTAAGCTTGATTTTTTAACTTACTGTTTTCGGATTATAATTTTGATACCTAATCTTCGTATTATTAGATTTAAATCTCTCGATCTTAAATTTAATTCACTAATTTTTGTACTTCTTTCCTTTACTACTCATGCTATTTTGAATAATCAGACTTTTATTACTCCAGTTCATTATAATGATTGGAGGTTTATTCATTTAATTCATCCTCCTTCATCTACAATTCCTCGACTGCATTTTTATATTTTTTCTCCAAATTTCCAATTTATTCTTGCTTCTTTTTCCTTTCAAAATCAAAATTTTGAATTTCTTATTCATAAGAAGAAAGTTAATCCTGTATGTTTTAGATCTCCTAAATTAATTGTTCATTCTAGTATTATAACTCTTTAATTTAGGAATTTAATTATTAAATTTATTATTTGTAGCTCTATTCCTTATTTAACAGTAATTATGAATTGTTCTTTTCTTCCTCCAATTCTTAATTCAATTAATCGATTGCTTCATTTTATAATAATTGATTCTTTTATAAAGTTTGCATTTATTATTCATTCTATGATTTTTATTTGTTTAATTATTATTCGAAATTATACCTTTCCATAGATAGTAAACCGATTTTCTCATTTAATTAACTTATTTCCTCATTCTTTTGATCTATTTATACTTAATATTATTATTTTTACTATTTAATCTCTTTTTTCAGCCTTTCTATTTCATTTAGATAATTTTTGTTTTATTATTCAAATTCATAGATTTAATCATTTAATTGATCAATTTCAATTTATCTTTCTTATAATGCCTTATGTCTATCTTCTGTGCTATTTGCCAAATTATTTTTTATATTTTTTAATTCCAAAGTTAATCTTGATATATCATCCTACTATTATTTTTCAATTTTGACTGATTTTTTTTTGTAATTTTCAAAATCACTAGCATTAATTTATAATTGCCTTTGTAATTATTATATTTCATTATTCAATTAGGAAGCATTAAATGATTCACTATAATAATATTTTAGTTCCTTCTCATTCTTTTCGTTAATTTATTAAAGCTATTAAATTTGCTTATTACACTATTCCAATTAAAATAATAACTTATTCTTCTCTTATAAGTATTCTGCATTAAAGGTTAGATCCAACTGCTCCTTCTTTTAGCGATCAAAACTCTATCTAAGCTTTTCAATTTCCTCTTTTTGTTTAATAATAGTGGTTTGGTATTTGTCTTTCCATTCCTGGATCTCTTATTGATAAGTCGATAAGAGCAAGTTAACTTATCTGTTTTCCGCTTCCAATTTCAAAGCCTTGTCATTTACCTATTTGTACAAACCATTTATTTTTTGCAATTCATTCTAAGCCTTCTAATTGCTATCCCCTTGCTCAAAACCTTGTTAAAATGCTAGTTGTAAATCACCCTAATGTTTATCATTAAGCAATTCTAACTCAGCCTTAAAATCCTTCTTCATCATATTGAATTCTTCAGTTATTCGAATGTTGTTTTATTACATTAAATTCAACTAATCTTTCAAATCGTTATTTTCAAGTTCTTAGATTCTAAATTATAATTCGTCAATCAATTTATCTTTGTCATCAATTATTTTCTTAAACCTCTCATCAGAAGCCTTCATTTTGTATTGCATATTAAAAAGATCAATTTAATTCTATTACATCAGTCTTTCATGTTGCACATTCGCTGCTGCCAATTCATTCTTCACTTTGGTCTTCAAGATATTCTCGTAATGCTATGTTAACTAATCTTACTGCTGTTGATGTTGATGTTTCAATAACAATAGTCTTTCTTCCAATGCCTTGATTTCCTGCATTTTGGTTTCCAAAACAAGATTGAGATTTTCCAACTGACGATTTGATTGTGATGATGTTTGAGATTGATTATTGTAATTACTCAATGACTTTACAGACGAGGCCTAAGGAGTCTTAATATATTCGTATCTGATGATGGGCTCACTCACAGTTGAAATGGCTGATTGCTTCATCTCCTTATACAGATTATCCACTCGTTGTTCTGCACTTCTTCTGGTTTCCTCCAATTGCATGGTTAAGTCAATGTTTCGGTCTTCCAATGTCTGAATTCTCCTTTTGTAATCCTTCTCCATTATACCCATTTGCATCTTTAACATAGCTATTTCATTTTACATATTTATTATTTTACAAAAAAATATAATAAACTCAAACTCATTTAAGAATTTCAAGTGCCTATCTGATATTCTCGCCCAAATAAGCTGAATCTTGAATCATCCTAACCTAATCGCTTAATTAATAATTTTCAAAATCAAGCAAGATGCCAGTAACTTGTGGTGCCTTGCAATATAATATTTATTACATTAATAGGGCCAACAACTTGGGTTACTTTTGGAAATAGCTACATTCCAATCAAATCAGTAACTTGCTATTTTTAGCCTCTATCAACCATAACTTATAATTAGGGTAAATCTGGGATTTGTTATTACTGGGGATAATAGGGTCTCTTCTATTGTGGATATCTATGTCCATTGTGATGCTATCTGGGTGGTTATTATTAAGGATATCTTTGTTATTATTAATAATAGGGTGGAGGGGGCATCTATTACTGATATTATTAGTATGCAGGTTGATGGAATTATCTTTAGAAGGTATTTTTCTTCACTTGCAATAGGGAACTCACTTCGGAAGGTGGCAAAAGAGGGGAAAGGGATATTACTCCATTCACATACAATGAGGCAATTTGAGGATGATCATATGCATATGCGATCAGTTACTTGCCGTCATCAGCTGTTTTGAAATATAAATAGGCTATTTGAGTGGGTGGTCTACTACCTAATGGATGATATATATGAAATACCATTTGGTGGTTGTTTTGATGGCATTAATTTGATATCCTCAACAGGCACTACCAAATTGAGAGCTTTCCTCAAATCTTCTTCAGTGATGTCGGCTTTCAGATTTTTGGTGAACAAGTTGGCTTCGATGTCTTTGTCAACATTATTGACGACCCATTCGATGTGGATTTATTGATCATTAAACAATTTATTGGATTTGACAGCTGCTTTTGCACTGTCCTAATTGACAAATTTTACAAATGCAAAAAATGTCCCATTTGTTGTGTTTCTATTCAAAACCAATGATTCCACAGTTCCAAAGGAGGAAACAAAGGTCTGTAAGTCAGATTTTAGTTGATCTGGAGTGACATTTGGCTGGACTTTGATGTTACTTATGTACACTTGATCTCTGTGTTGTTTTTTGGATGTGAATCTAAATAATAATATTAAAAAGATACTTCTAAATTTTAAATCCTAATTTGGATTATTCGGCTATGCATTTATCAGCTGACTCTTTTTTGTCAAATTATATATAGGCAACACCCACTTTGTCTGACTTCTATAATTTGACACTGAGGATAGTTCCAAATTAACTGAAAAGTTAGCGAAGAGATGATTGAGTCTCTTTCTTATCGATATTGTCAATAAAGACATTAGCTTCAAGATCCAGCTGAGCTATATTTAAGTATTAACAAACGTAGGGCTCCTCACCATTGATATTAATCGATTTTTAGAGAGCAGAAGTGACTTTGAATGTATAATTACAATAAATTACCACTTTGATTTTCCTTATAGATTATACAAACTCCTGATCCTTGGGAGGTGATTTATTCAATTTGGCCGAATTCTGAGAATATTTTCTTTAATTGTTCAGTGGTTGTTTATTGAGGGTATTTTGAAACATACAGAGTGCGTTCTGCTGGGATTGATGTAGTATTCATAAAATAAAATCTTTTTATTTATTTAATTTATTTTGTTATATCATGAAAATTACTTCTCCTTTTGAGTGACTTCGTTCAATACTACTTCATAATTATCATTCCATCTCTAAGAACTAAACTCTTATTCCACTCTGCTCTAATTTCATACTCATAAATATATTACTCGCTTTTATTCATTCATTATGATCTGACTTGGTTACAGAAACTGAGACTGCTAATAAGACTGTCTCTATTACACACTCGTATACTCAATAGGTCTTGATGAATAAGAGCTGTATTCATTTATCTTCGGTTGAACTGAACTATACTCAATGGTCTTCGTTTATTGAGTCATCTATGGGTAAATTGCCTTCGAATCCTGCGTATATTATTATTAAGTAGTCACTATCTTCTAGCTGGTACTGGTAGTGTGTTCATTTTTTTGGTTCAAGTTCTGAATCTCATAAGTATATTCCCGCTGGACTGATTGTCGCTCCTCCAATTGAGATTTGAATTGTTCTATTAATAATTACTATTCCTCATATCTCTTTGATAACCATTGATTATCCGAAGCTTAAACTAGTAATCTATCGATCTCACTTCTCAACTCAACAATCTAATTATAATTATTGATTCATACAGTTTTTTATAATCTCTTGATTTCTAATTTCAAAACCTCTGATTGTTCATTATCTTGATATTGATTCAAAGTAATTTAAATAGTCTCGTAACTCTATTACAACGATATGTATCTCTATTCGATTTGTTCATATCTAATTTTCCATTGGTTCACCTCCTCATTTATCTAGTACCTCTACCTTTGTTCCAATTATTCATACTTCTCTCTCCACTATTAAATCTGTTACTTAAGACCCTCATTATTGTCAATATTAATCTGATAACTTGAAATTCTCTATTGATAAGTAATCATTTCGGATCTATACTAATCAGACTCCAATTAAATTTATCTGATTCGATCCTCCTTCTATTGCAACAAGACCTCCAATTCCCTTATCTTAAACTAATAGACCTCGTATTAAGATTGTTCTGCCTTCATCTCCTCAATTCTTCGTTTCAATTGGAAAGTCAATTGCTATTCCTACTCATACTGCAACTTAAGATCGGATATCTACTTCTTAAGAAAAGTTATTTATTCATTATTGGATTCCAATTGGTAGATCTTTCTAGTGTATTACTCGATATCAGCATTTGCTCTTCTTAATTGGTCTTTGAGTTGTTCAATTTATATTAGGTAGTTTTCACTATCTGATTTTCTTGACTCAAATGAGTATATTCTAGTTTAGTACTGTTCTATTTAAATTCTGGTTGTTTCAATTTATTCTTGTAACATGTTGCACCTAGTAGTCATGGATTCTAATTATTGAGTCTTCATTTTTAATAATCTCTCTGTTTCTGGGTCAGGCTAATAAACTACTTTTGTTTCATATTATATTTCCTTCTAAACTATCTTACTTCTCTCTTCTAAAGAGTAAAATTGATTTTATAATTGATTATATCTTGATTGCAATTGATTATATTGGTCAATTTTAATTTGTAATTATCTCTCGGTTTCAGGATCTGTTTAATAGATAGTTTTGGTTTCATAAACTGTGGTTTATTGTCTCTATTGCAATGTTGTATACTAGTCTTGAATCAATGTGTATCGAGCGTATAGTTCTTCGTATTGTTAGATTTTCTTTTGCAACAATTTCTCAGTTTCAGGATCTGACTAGTAAATAACCTTTGTTTCATATTGTATTTCTTTTTACACAATCTTGCTGGTTTCTTGTAGAGTGTAATATTAAGATTAGAGGAGAGTGTACTTTTGTTTAAGTTCTTAGAGTTATCTTTCTGTTTCAGGATCAGGTTGGTAGATGATTTTAGTTTCATATTGGATTTCTTTTTAATACGTTTTTGATTGTTCAGAGATGGTGTAATATTGTGATTGGAGGAGACTGTATTTGCTTTGTAGTTCCCTGAGTTATCTCTCGGTTTCAGGATCAGATTTATAAATAGTTGTTACCTCTGTTTTCCTATTCTGTAATTGAGCCTCCATGTTACTTAATTTATAATTCAATCTATCATTGTCTTCCTTATACAGTTCCATTTCTTGTTTGGCATCATAGAGCTCTTTTTACAATTGCTCCAATTCGCCATCATCATTATTGCCACCTCTCAATTCAATTTGATCTTGATTTTCTTAAATCTATTTGATGTTGGTTTCAAGGGATTGGATTTCATTTTCCTTTTGATTGAGTTTATTTTTCAAATCGTTGATCTCCTTCAGATACTTATCTGAGTTATCAATCACTTTTGGCTTGGAAAGATCCTAGATATGGTGGATATTCGTACTTATTAAATAGCCATATATTGTCTTTTCCAGATTTCAATTTCTTGACTCTTGTCCACCAAGAACTTGCTCATCTTGTTCATCTCATCCAGTAATTACTCGATCTTTGCATCCTATTGCTTTAGCTAATTTCAAATAAAATTAACTATTACTTTTTGATCCTTATTCAAACAATCAGGGCAATATTAGGGAGCATACTTCTAAGGGGGTGGAGGAGGAGGTGTTGTTTTTACAGGTTGGGCAGGTTGATTATGCTTTCTCACTTTAACTATAAATTTATGTGTCATATTGGCTCCTTCTGGTAGGGCTGAGAGACCATGCAAAATCTCACCGTTTTCCAACTTTCTCTAAATTTCACTTATTTCCTCGGGAGTTAGTTACTCAAGTTATTGGCTAACAGCTTGTCTCTAACTGTTCGGCTACTGTTAAACTAGATCATTCATGAATTTCATTTGAGAATTTGAAAATTAAGATGGTGCACCAGTTGGTCTGTATGATTGTCCTTAGGCTGGAGGGATTAAGACTGCAGATCCAGGACGAGGTACTGAACTTGATCGATCCATTTGTTAATTTATTTAATTAAATGTAAAGACAAGTTTATATCAGTCCTGAGAGAATGGTCGTTGAAAAACTAGAAAAGTATCCAGCTCCCAATGCAGACCCGAATTTCGATCACTGTATTGTAGTTGATAAAATGATCAATAGCGCGATTCCAAGAGATAGAAGCTGAATTCAGAGCCTTAGATATCGACCAAAGTGGATGGCTGTCCTTGGCTGAATTGGAGTTGCATCTCAAGAGAAAGGGCTGTGATCAGCATTTGATCCAAGAGATCTTCAACGACCTAAACACTAACCAGGATTAGAAGATTTCAAAGGATGAGTTCACACATGGATATCTGAACAAAGAATCCAATCTCAAAGAAGAAATCAAATAGATCGAAATCAAAATCAAACACCTCAGATCCCTAGAAGATGATATCAAATCCAAAGTCACTTAAACCAACTGTTCTCAACTCATACTCACCCTGCAATCAGGATGTCTAAGCTAATTGTACCACTCCAAAGATGATCTTGTCAAGGCATACAAACAAATCGAAGTCATCTTCCATTGCAACGAAGCTTAGGATGGCTTCGAGAGAATAAGCAAACCAAGTCTCAATTGCGAATTCCCTGTTTGGGGAGACAAATTCAACTACGCCCTCACTCAAGTTTTTGAGATCACAATCTCAATAGAATTAATCGAAATCGATAAATTGGATAAGCAATCCTTAGGCAAAATCATTCTCAAAAAGAGCTTGAATTCTGAATTTGACAAACAAGAAAAAATCTATTTTGAAAATGTTGGAGAAGTCATTCTTTAAATTCAATTTATTAAAGATTGGGTAAGAGTTATTATCTTAAATAGAATGAATCAGTTTAATTTTAAGTTTCTTTTTATGAAAACTGTATTAACTAATATTTGGAAGAAATCAAACAAATTAAGAAGAAACTATTCTTTATGAAACAACTCTACACTAACAACAGTAATATTCATTATAAAAGTCTCAAACTTAAGGAATCCTAACCATAATCTGTCAGATTATCCCAACTCTAAGACACAACCCAAAGAAACACTCAATTCCCATAAATTCCAATCTACTTAACTCATCAAATGGTTTAAGAAATACACGTGATTAATTCACTTAAACCCCAGAATCAACTATCTCATAGTAAAATATTCTAAGAGAATCAACTGGCAACCAGTTTGCAACATAAATCATTGTATAATCCTGCATTATAGCTTTCTCTACAATAACAAATCCCTGTCCCTGTTCAACAAGACAAAAACATAAAATCCTATAAAACCGATTTAAAATAAGCTGACTCTATTTAGATTGATTACACAATTCAAACTAGTATTATTGATGCATTCAATCAATTTAATCATAATCAATCAGAACCAGAGGAATTAGGTGTTGATTTATAAACATTTGGTAATGACGAAAGATATAAAATGATATATCCTTTAATCGGTCTGATTACCCTGAATATCGCATACTCTAGATGTGACTTTTTAGGTCTTCTGCTGGTGTTGTTGACAATACCTTATCAGAAAAAGAAATGGAATACTTAATAAGTAAACTTTTATTCGATTGGAATGATGATTTCTGCAATTATGGATTTCTATTGGTATATATCATCTCTATTGCTAAGGCTCTTTAAGTTTTCAAATTGTTTTTCTGAATCTTATCAATGCAATAATTAATATGGATTTGTCTTAGCCATCTATTTCTTTTGTTTTCTTGCAATCCTAGGAAAACTCTACACAACCTATAAAATACGTTCCTATTAATGATGAACTTTTTAATATATATTTATATATGCTATATGGAGTAGTATATATTAAACTATAGTACATTATTAATTTGGTATTCAATAATTAAAGAATAATTAAATATGTAAGAATAAAACATAAGATTTTCACAATTTCATATATCTCATCCAATTCCAGGCGAGAACGACATTCAGAATGTTTTCGAATCTTTCATTGCTGAGTATAAGAATTTTAGAAATAATGTGCCTGTTGGATGCATTACAGACAAATGCTCATCGAAGTAACAGGAGAGGATCGACTTGAGTGTTTTCTGTGGAGCTGGAGGATATCTTTATTTGTATTTGAGGATATATGAGTTTGTTTCAAGTTTAAGTCCTGAATTGTAGTAATAATGTACTCAAGGATTGACTGACTAAGAGTTGTCAGAGTTTTATAATCCGGAGACATTTCTATAAATGGCATTGCAATAATATCAGGCTATACAGGCTTCAATAAAGGCTGATGACAATATCTCCTTCTTCATGAGCAACTCTGCTATTTCTTTATTGGGGGCTGATATGTTTTTTTATATGAAAGACAAGGAGAATTTTAAAAGATGTGTGACTGAAGTATTGAATCAATTCGGAGATATTGTGGCTTAACCAAAGAAATACGAACAAGAATTGTTGTATGGTGTTCCAGGATACCTTTATTCTTTGTTGTGGTTGCACAAGAAATATTCAAATGAAAAAGATCAATTTTAATTGGACTTGTCTTCTCACATTCACACCATTTGTTAGGTGATACTTAAGTTTGTTGGGAATGGTGTAATGAAATGCTAATTTAGCAATAGATAGTATTATGGAGCAGCTCATGGAATATTGGGTGTAATTTAAATGCTTCTTTTGAGTTATGAGTCATGTAAGGTATATTTTCATTTGAAAGATGAATAGGGATTGCTTTAAATGTTGGAATCCATTTAAGTCACATTGGATCATCTAATTAAAATCTATTATTAAAATGGCAACATTCCATCCTCAGCCTAAAATGAGAAGAATTTGAGATTGTTTTAGTTCTGTCACGGAATACCAGGAGCCTTTGCTCCAATTTTAAAAGCTTATTAGATATTCAATAAGTAGGATTATTTGGATGCAGCGATACACATGAGTGAGACTCTCTTCAAGTATGGGATGATTAAGAAAGGCTATGGATTGTGTCATGGAATACCAGGGAACAGTTATGGATTTATGCAATTGTATAGATTAACTGGGAGTGAGAAGTTGAGGTAGTATGCTTTCTAATTTTTACAATACAAGAAGAATCCTCATGTGTACAATGAAATAAAGAATTTCCCATTTAAGGACAGATTCAATATTGGCATTTCTGATAATCCTTTTAGTTTGATGATGGGAAGTATTGGAGACATGTGTGCAATGATGGATTTCATAAATTATAAGAGAATGCCAGGATATGAAATTTGATTAATATTTTTAATGATCATTCATAATTAATTCTCACATTTATTGTTTTATTTTTATCAAAGGCCTTGAGTGCAGTTTACACATCAATGAGTTGTTCATCGATTAATTCCTAGAAGGTCTTTTCTAGAATGTGATCAAATCCCTATTTCCTTCTGATGTTGTTAGTAATCAATGTTTATCCCTTGCTACAGAGTTCAATGTCTGGTGGTAATTGTGTCAATAGAACAGAAATCTTATCAGTCCGTTTTACTAGAATCTCCAAAGTTTAGATAGAGCATTCAGTACATTCCTCTAATCTTTCCTGTTGTATGACATTGATGCCCACTCCGGTCTAATGATTTTGACCATACCATTGGATGTAGTTGTTTAATTGACTTCCATTTCCAGTCAAGATTTTAAAGCATTCAACAGTGCAAATCGAAGCAATAAGAGCATTTGTCGAGGCAACTGCAGGAATGATGTTCTTGACAACGCCCAAAGTCAGTTTATATGTGACTCCTTCAATGTTGAATTGCTTAGATCTTTCGAGTGCCTTTTGGTAAATCCAATTCATGTGATCAAAATTGTCTTTATCCAATTTGACGTTGGGTTATTCTTTGGACCATAAGACTTCATAAGCATAGGCGATGCAATGTTCTGGCAGTCTTGGAGTGGAGGCGATTGTACACATTTAATATTGCAATTATTTGGGGAGTTGACTTAGAGTGCATTCGTAACAGGCTGTTTCAAAAGGAGAGATCACTCTGGCCTATCCATTTAAGCCTTCAGTTCCTCCATCTATTAAATAGTGACGAGTATCATCAATGACTTTATCATTTTCATCTCTCTGCACCATTTGAATGACAACCCTATTGATCCATCTTCTGGCTTCGACGTTGTCCAGTCCAGCAATAATCACTGGGAATTCGGAATAAAAACTAATTGGGAACTCTTAGATCTGCAAATAGCATTTAAATAGCTACCTTTTTTGTATAGGGTATCACTTTGCAAGTGGGAATCCTCTTCATAATGAATTCAGCTGCCACTTCAGCCTTATATTTGCCAACATCTTTCATCCTAAATAAAAACTATCTATTCAAATTTGTTAGATCAATTGTATCCAAATCAATCACATGAATCTCTTTGATTCCACTAAGGGCCAGAGTCTTCAAAATTTCACAGCCTAGACCTCCAGCTCCTATAACGAGCACTTTTTAGGTGGCCAAGGCTTCGATCATGACTTGTCCACGGTATTCATTGTAGAGATCCTTGGATAAGGGACTGAATGTATTTAAGATAGAATTCATAAATTATTAAATTAAGTAACATTATCATTTGTTCTATTTCCTTAACAATTCATATTTTCGTATACAAAACATGGACTCAACTCCTGCGTCATTTATTTTGTTTCTGTATGTGAAGGGATAGGCAGCGTAATGAGTGATAGCAGACTGATATTCGGAATTGTTGTTTCTCTTTCTCAGAATCTTCCGGGGTTGGGAAGACTCAATTTAGCCTTTGCCGTTGATACAGAAGTGCAATTGTTCGGATTTCTTCTTGACGAGAGGGGAGAGAATCTGTTTTTTTGAATTGGGTTGGGAGAGCACAAAAGTTCTTTTAGCATCCACAGTAATCGACTTGAGTCTGAGTTGTTGGACAACCGAGCGATGCTTTTATTTGAGGGTGGGCGAATAGGAATGCGGGTATTAATTCATTATTAATATTAATCTATGGTTTTTCATATTTATCAAATCTTATCACCAGCAGCTTATCTTAAGGCAAGCTATTCTCTAAGAGTTCTTAAAGCTTTGTTGACTAAACCAATTGTATCAGATACGACTTGTCTATCAGAATCTCTATGATAGATTATTAAATTAAGATAGATACCTGGCAGATCTGGCATCAGCATAGTCTTTGGCAGCTTCTTCACATTGAGTCCATCTGTCGGTTCTTCTCTCATGGAGTAATTCAAGTCTTTGATTGGTGTTATCCAAGGAGGCTTCAACTTGTCTGATGATATCTGAAACACTTGCGAAATCAGATTCAGCATTTGCTAATTCAGATCCAGCCACTGTGAGGGCGATGACCAAGAATTTTCTTGTCTTGTTGTAGGCTTCGACTCTCTTGTCTTCTGCAAATCTTTGTAAACTCAAGGAATCACTAACTTCATTGATTAATCTGTCGAATAAATCAACGACTCTAGAATCATTTAGATAAGTTCTTACTTTTGAATTGTGCTGTCATCAAACTTAGCCTTGCTTGAAATTTGACTCAATAATTTCATGACTGGAACATATCTCAACATGTGTTTTGAGTGTGACAATTTTCTCTATGATTCCTTGATGTGCTTCTAGAACAATGAAATGTGTTCTGATGACAATTCCTTGACTTATTGGGTTGCTTTCTTTTAAACTAAGGAGGAGGTGGCTTCGACATTGGCTTTAATGATGTTTCTGGCTTCGGTCAAAACGGCAATGGCTGTGTTGTGATCAGCTGCAATTTCTTCGAAATCGGCATGTTGGGCAGCTCTTTCAGCATCCAACTCATCGATTTCCTTTTGATATCCTAAAACCCTTAGAATTGTTTTAAATACCTTTGACTTCTGCTTTCTTTGCTGTGACCAATCCTGTGATGATTGCTCTTCTTGGATACAAGTCACCTTCAAGTCTGGCTTCGAGGGAGATTCTCTCAGAGTCAGTGTTTGCAATGTCTTTATCATAAGCTGATATGTCGACATTGCATGAATCTTGGAATTCTCTGTTCTCAGCGTCGTCCTCTCTCTATTCCTATTAATATCTGTCTTCCAAGTCTGATAGGGTGTTCAACAATCTGTCTAAGGGATCTCCTGTTTCCAATTGGAGGTAGATTGTGTCGAATAAGGTTCTTCCAAATGGTGTGGCATCAATCCTATGAATCAATTAGATGTATTCAGTTTCTGTTGTGGCAAATGCTGCACAGGCAAGAACTAATAACAATATCGTTTTCATTAAATAAAATATTATCTTCCTGTATTCTCATTGTGATCATTTCATCGATTAGCCGTTTTGAATTTATTGCAGATTATACTACACACAAACGGATTACGAAATAAATATATTATTAAATATTCTCGTCATCTCAACCTTCACCTACTGTCCTAATAAACTATCCCTCTTTTGCCTTCCAGTTATCAAAACAACCTTCTAATTTATTTTGAAAACCCTTCACCGTCCAAATTTCTCTGATTTTTTCTGTGTTAATTTAATCTTATAATAGTATCAGAAATCTATTATTATAAATAGAAATATTTTAAAATGCTAGAATTACCCAGATATTAGTCGAGAATTGATTGAGCACAATTAATATTCTAAACAAATATTTAAATAGCAAAATTTAATTCTTTTAGATGCAGCAATCAATACAAGAGAGGTATTTGGAGTTGTTAAAGAAATTTAAGGAAGAGCAAAGCGAAATAATCGCCAACATCAAGGAATTGATTTAAGAGAAGGATGTTGATTTGGAAGGATTCAGGGAATAAATTTTAAATATACTCTAATTGTAATTCAAAGGATAGAAGTTGCTATTTGCAACACAAACAAGAATAGCTAATGAGCTTAAAGAGTTTAATTCCCAAAAATTAGATCACATCAAAGTATACAGACTGAAATTCGATGATTGTCTATTAAGCAACATCTTAATTATACTCATGAAGGGCTAAGTGGGAACTCCCTATGAAGGCGGCATCTATAGCTTTATTTTGAAGTTCCCTGAGAACTTTCCATTTGCTACTCCTGAGTTCAGAGCACTGCTTCCCATCAAACATCCCCACATCTATCCTAACCTGAGACTCTGTACTCCTACAATCAACGAGTATTACGAAATCCAATAGTACAGTCTCCTGGAATTACTCTAATCGTGGTATGCTATTTTACATAGAGAACCAAATAAGTTTTCCTTAGCTAATTGCGAAGCTGCTGAACAATATACTGATGAATTCATAAAACTCTAGGCAGAATTCAGTTCCATGGAAAACCCAGTTATGAAGTTGTTCAAGATTTAAGATCATGACGAAGAGGAATTAGAATTGTTTATGAGCCTTTGATATTTTATGAGAATTGTATTCATAGTTTATGTGATATCCCCAATCTTACTCTGATTACAGACTACTCCATTTTCATCCATTATGGGAATATAGGAAGTTATTAAATACATAATTCGTTTTTGAAAAACATTATTAAAATAAAATAATGAAGCACATTCTTGTGTTGGCTTTGATCGCATTCACATATGCTACGACCTTGACAGAGATGTCAGACAGACTTTCTCAATATGGAGATCATCCCTTCGGAAAGTCTATGGTCAATCTGGTTACTGTTAACATGAAAACTGGTGGTTCCCTCAATGAATTGAAATAACTCTTACAACAAATCAAGGACGAACTCATCGCTCTCACTCAATTGCAAGATTCAGAAAATGCCACTTTCACTCGCAGAAGTCAAGTTGATTTGGCTAAATTACAAGCCACCCTTGAATAAGCATCAGCTGATTTAGACAACCAAAGACAAGAGCAATCAAGCTTGAGCAACGAATTGGCTACTCTGTAAACTAGAGTGAAGGAGGGTATTCATATAATTTTTATATTTGCAGATCAAGCCGCTTTGGACAGAAACGGTAGAGGAAGTGGCGATGCTCAATCCAGACTTGATGCTGAAAATGCTGACTTTGCTACCAAGTACTCCGATTACAATGACGCCATCTTAGCATGTAAGGAAGCACAAAGATTACTATTGAACTTAAGAGGTGAAGGAGCATCTTTAATTTAACTTACGTATCCCTCCTCTTTAAATACCAATTTAGTTAAGATACAAAGAGCAACCTCATCTAAACCAAGGAGAACTTCTAAAAGATCAAAGAAATATTGGAAGCTCACACCAAAAAGAGCTCTTTGACCCTCTTCCAACCCATCATTGAAGGACTCGCTGAAATGACCACCAAAGTCAATCCAGAAACCTTGAACAATGTCCTTAGTTTGGTCGCTCGTCTTATCACAGCTCTTCAAGAAGGTCAAGATCAATTGGAGTCAAATCACAAAACTCAAGTAAATCCATGCAATTCATATTAACAAGGTTGAGAATTTAACCAGGTTGGGTGATGATTTGAAAAATGAAAAGTAAACCTTATAAGTTTCATTTGGCTACTGCTAACAATAGACTCAAGGAGATTTAATCAAGATTGAACGAATTAGACGGATTGATCAACATCTCAAATGCTTTAGTTGAGGTCACACAATTAAACATTCAAGATGCCACCAAGATCAATGAATTGGAAGATGCAGAATACAGTAATTAAAAAGTCAGCAGGTATCCCTTCTTATCCTATTTCTCTATAGATAAACTGAAATCGATATAGTTGATAGATTAATTGAATACATCAATTAAAAATTGTCAGAGTGATTCCATACAATTATATCAAAAATATCATTATTAATTATAATGTTGTTTTACAAGAAATAAAAGTTATAAAATAAAGCAGTCAAAACTCAACTTAACATTTCAACATTGTTGCATGATATCAATTTTTAACCAGGGCCCTGAATTGGAAGTTGCACTGGCGAAACCGAAAAATCATCTTCAGTATCATCTAAATCTGACTCCTCATAAAAAATGTTAAGGAGAGCTTCCCTCTTCAAGCTTCCTGAATTTTCCTCCTTTATTCTTCTATAACACAGAGAGATATCAGGCTTGGATAATTAAATATTTATATGCAGCATTATTTGTTCGAATTTATCCAAGCTGATTTCTTAGTCTTATGCAATATCATACTACCTTAACGTGAAATGAGATTACCTTATTGAATAATTGTATAATTGATATTGAATTCAACCTTATCCGCGCGATCAGAGCATTCAATATAGTATCCACTTTGGACTATTCTTGTTACTTCGATCTTGCAGGACTCATGTCCTTTGAGTAAGATTAAAGTGCCTATCAAAATTATCGATTTACATTGTTTACTTAATTTTATCCTAACCAAAACAACACACATTGTAATGGTATAGAATCTGAATTGAAATGACTCAACTGACCAAAAATCAAATGAGCATCCTCTGATGTAAACTGTTTATCAATTGAAATTAGTAATAGTTCAAGATCTTTAATTTTAAGTTGATTTCCAATTGAATTATTTTAAATTAATTAATTTATGTTCAATTTTCTCATTTTAATGATATTTTTGATTTGCATGATTATTTATTGAAAGTTCTGATCCATCCTTTTAATTGGGTTTTATCGAAATATGTTATGACTCAAAATATCGATCCAATCTATTCTTTCTTTTTCATTGATTTATAAACAATTCCGAATAAATGATTTGCTTATATCACTAACTTTTGGTTACTTAGGAAACCTCAGAGGTTGCTCTTAGATTTCTTTAAGTAATTAAGAAGTTGTCTCATGATACCAAGGAGCTACTCAATAATCAGGTTCTTTTTACTTGCACCATATAAACATTCGTAAAATAAGATTCCTATAGACCAAATGTCACATTTATTTGTATAACTACTATTTTATTGGACCTGTGGACTCATATACAAAGGTGTCCCAACACGTGAATTCAGCATCCTCTATTTGGAAAATTGAGTTGCCATACCAAAATCTCCAAGTTTAAATACTCCATTGCTATTCAAGATATTTTCGGGTTTGATATCTCTGTGTACAATTCCATTCTTCAATAATATTTGGTATCCACAAAGGATATCATGTAAAATTCTTATGGCCTCCTACTCCTCCAATTGTTTTTGCTTCAATATCTACCTTAGATCCCCTTATTAACAATATTCTTAGATAAGATAATAGTTTTGCTGGTTTTCACAAACATCAAGTAACCTCACTATGTTTTTCGAATGAAGTTTTCTCAAAATTGTCATTTCATTGGCCAAAGCCTACAGTTAATACGATTATCTTATAATACAAATAGATGTTACCCTGCCAAATTTGCCTTTTTCATGATTTTTATGGCGACTTCTCCTTAAGTACTTTAGTTTATGCCTCTGTAAACACACCCAAAACTGCCCTTTCCAATTATATGATTTGTGTTATAGAAATAATGTTCGATGCTCTTGTCCTATTACATTGGCAGATATTTTTACTATATATAATATAAAAAACAAAAGTAAATTAGATTTGAGTAACAAGAAAAACGTATTCAATAAACAATCAACCCCCCTTTATTGTTATTGCATTACTAATACTACAGAATCTATGAAACAACGATAAATAGTTTGAATTTCTTGTTGATTTCAGAATAACCTTTCGAACTTGAAATTTTGTCAACAATAATAAAATAGAAATAATAGATTATTAAATATTCATCATTTTAGTTATTTACATTATTCGAGCATTACCTAGACATTTCTTAATCCTGCCCAATATCCTAATTTTAATAACTGTCATTCTAATAAAATGTCATGTCATAAATTAAATCATAATAATTAAATAATAAATATTAATTATCATTGTAATATGTTATAATTAATTAATCATTATGTTATAATTTTAGAGTTGGCAAATCAATATTTGTAAATTTCAGTCTTATTTTAATAACAATCATTTTAACTAATCCATTAATTATAATATTGTAGAATTTTATCAAACAATCCTAGCTATGAATTCATAATATTTAAGCAAATAATAACCTATTGAATTCCTAATAGTATTATATACTGGATCCATTTTAATCATAAATATTTATCATTTATTTATAAATTATAATATAAGATCCTTCAACATATTATATTATCGAATAATATATGCCTTTTCTAGATCTGTAGTGTTATGATTAGGTATATATATTTTTGTGAAATGAGCCTTATTATAATTCTATAAAAGAAATTTATAAATAAAAAATTAATAATATTTTGGAATGGACAGAGATGATTTGATAATTTCAGATCTGATTCGCAAGGTCGTGAAGACTAATTCTCATTAAAGCAACGAACCTGAAATGGAAGAGACTAAGGAAGGTGGCGACACGAATACTTCTGTATCTGAGGAGGAGGGTGAAGAACACTAATCAAGTTTAATGGATTACACATTTGAATCTGGTCCAAGTTTAAATTTCATTACCGAATACTCGTCAGTGATATGGCAGGACGGTTTGATGATCAGTAATTAAAGTTCAGATTCTTCCAGCTCAAGCTCAAGTTCAAGTTCGAGTTCTTCATCTGAGAGTGAGGATGATGAGGAAAGGAAAGAAAACATGTCTGTATCAAATTCTTGAATGATATATATATTATTTTATCAGCTTTTATCATGCAAAAACAGATTCATTATGGTATCTGTAGATTTTACTCAATTCCAGCAAATATGATTGCAATGGATATTACAGTATATTGATGTGTATATATAATGTTTCAAAGTTCAATTATCATTGAGCAAATTGAATTGGAAGCTATTGGAAGCTATTTGAAGTTATATGAGTGTGTAGATTAGAATTTTACTATCCTTATGTTTAATAGAAATAGTTTAAGATCTAGATGATTTTTAGATGATTTAAATGAATTTGATGAAGATTAGAAGTCTCACTATTAAAATGCATATTAAATTTGGCTTATACCAATATTTGAGCAGCATCCTATTTAAATTTTTTAATTTTTAATTAATGGAAGGTGGTGGAGCTGTTTAATAAGTTGTCGTGATTGATAAGATATAAATATTATTGAATAAGATTTCTGCATATAACAATTTAGCAGAGAGCAAGGGAAAAGGAATTTGTCCAAATATTTTTATAAGGTAAAAATATTTATAGCATTCCTAGGCAGCAAGATATAATGGAGAAATTATTGATTCTGCAAAGCATGGGAGTGAATGACGAGATATTTGTGATGGGGTTTATTTTGGTCGATCGACTGACAACAATGAACGAGTTTTATCTCAACCGAAGAAATATTTACAAGTATCTACTAACAATTATGTTTGGAAAGCCTTCTTATGACAGCCTTGATTCTGTGTCTGAAGATGTATGACGATAACCAAACAGTTTCTAACACCTACCCAATCATTTTTGAAACCAATAGAGTGAGCCTTAAGAAAATGGAGAAAAAATTCTTGAAGCTGACAAAATATCAACTGTATGTGAAAACAGAGGAATTTTACAATTACAGAGCGCGGTTGCTAAAATTAAAAGAATGAATTGTTTGCACATAACAAAACACTCCATTTACAGACATAAATTATATAATAATTCATTTAATATATTCACTTAATTACTTTTAATTTTTAATACGAATTTCCAACACCTTAAGATAGCTTTCCATATTTTAAGTGCCTCTGCTAATGGCTTTTATATGTTCTGTATGAGCCTCTATTAATCCTTCAAATTCCACATATTTCATGTCTAATTTGTTGATTTAATTAATAATATCATCAACTTCTTGATCCAATGCCACTAATTAATTGATAGTTTCCTTTTATTATTCATTCAATTTCTTTTCAAGGACATTTACTATTTCTTCAGGATTCTTATCTAGATTAATGATATCATCATTATACTAAACTTGCTAGATTGAATTCTTATTCTAATGATTAAAGTATTTCTGAGTTCATAAATGTAATATTTTATATATTTATCGTTTTTTAATTGGATGATTAAATAAGTTATATGGGCATGTCTATTATTAGCATGTATAGCAGTAGAAGATGGCCGTTATTTCGAATATATGGAGGTAAATATCCATATGAGTATGATCAATAGATCGACAAAGATGATTTCGGCAAGACTTTGATTGATACATTGGAAATTAATATCTCAGGTGGACAATCATTGGAGAAAGTAGTTGATTTAATGCGTGATTTGGAAGGTTAAATAGACACTGAATAAAAGGATGATGACATTACTAATCAATAATTTTAAAAGAAATGTGATGAAGTATAGACATATACTTATTTATAGGATTTGACTAATTAAGACAGCGAGATCAATTAAACATAACTAGCAATTGTAGAGAAATAAGGCAAATTGGATGAATTGAAGAATGCATAATAAAGAAAGAAATAAATTGCTAATGCTAAGGATTAATGGTTGAAATAAATTTAAGAATTAATATCTTAGAAATAAACTATAAGAAATCAAGAATAAGATAGGTATGAATAAGAGATGAATGAAAATTCATATGTTATTTCTGTGATTTCTGAAGTTAAAAAGAAATTTACTTTAAGTGGAATAAATTTGATTTAAATTAACAACCATGAGTCATTGATGGATGATCTAGAGAATGCTGTGGATGAAAGTAGGAATTTCAGATAGAATACAAGATATTAAGAATTGTTTGGATTATTTGTTTAAGTTGCAGCCAAAGTCAAAAATGAGGGTGCAGATAAATTGAAATCCTTGTGTGACTAATTATTAATCAATGTTTCTGACAATATGTCTTTAGTAAGAAAGTAGGAAGATAAAAGAAAGGAAATATTTGAAAAGGAGATTTCATCTTTACAAAAGGATTTATAATTAGTACAAAGTGATAAATCAATGATTGATGCAGGATTAGAATAATTAAATAATCAGATCTCTATGGGATAAAACGATTTGACAGATTACAATGCCAGAATTGAGAGCAAAAAATAAACTAAGGAAGATAGAAGAAAAGAATGCTCTTAGGCTGCTTATGAATACAAGTCAAGTAGAGAGTAAAATGATAGAAAGAGATAATTAGTTTCTCAAGTTATCGGATTATTCAGTGCTAATTAGAGGGAATTTAAAGAATATCTGAGAATTAGAAACGATTGAGATTTATAAGTCTAAAATATTTCTATTATTTTAATAAGTACTAATTGATATTAATCTAATAATGATCATCTGTGGTTAGAATCTCAATATTATTCTTGGTTTCATCCTATCATAATTTTGTTATAGGCTATTATTAAATTCCTAAAATAATTAACCAATTATATCAGATGCTTTTTATAGCCTTATAGCATCATTTATTAAAATAATAACGAAAATCTAAGAACTCTTGCTACAAGTAACCAACCTCATAAACCATTCCTATTATCTTATATATAATGAAATATATTAGTTTTAAAAGATCTATATTATTAAAACTCTACATAGATTTGTCCTTTAATATTTCAAAATTATGTTAAAAAATTCATAAAAAAAATAAAATTGCTTTAAAAATGTTACTATGGTTTCACAAAGAAGATGAGACCCTTCATTAATTTAGATTTGTAGTGAATTATTAAAATTAACAATATTTATGGAAGTATATAAACAGTTATAAAGACTAAACTTATTAATTAGTCTGGTTAATCAGGATAATGATTGTTAAATGAGTGTATTAATTTATTGAATAATCATAATTATTAATTTATCTATTTAAGATGTTTATAAACAATACAAACTATTTGCTAATGGGATTATGTTCAAAAGATCTAATATATTGCATACTCAATCAATCTAAAATTCCAACAATTGTAAATTTGATTACTTTAACCATTCTAATATGTAAAGAATCACATCTTTATTCAAGTTTAACAATTATTGAAGATCAAATTTCGAACTTCTCACTCTGAAATCATCCTCTCATTTATCTATAACATTATATCCATAACATTATTTGGAACTTAATCCATTTGGTAAGCCTACTATGTTATGAACATATTCCAAAGGGTCGATTGCTATTTTCTTGCTTCCTTTCCAATTATAATTTACTAATTAGTCCTAGAAGTAATTGAATATCAAGTGATTGAACCAAAGACACTTGGCTTTTAAGTTTCTTCAGCTTCAATCATCTTTATATTCTAGTTTTATAGTTTTTTCTAATAAAATGATGTAACTTCGGTTGCAGAATAAGTTATCATCAAGTAATTATTGGAAAATAGTTATATAAAGATTTTCACAAAAAATTTAGAAGATTTAACACCCAATATATTATTAAGTCAGAACACTTCGGCTTAAACCATTTTCACCACTCGAAATAAATTCGAAAACTAGGAATTAATTCCGAATTCAGTGAACAAGGAACTTAAAATTAAAAGTTTTCTAAATAGCGACATCCAATTAGAGGAATCAGCTGACTCAGAAATAGAGAGTCCAAATAAATACCAAACCTTCAAAAACCTGAGGGATTTTATCATTAGTTTTGTTTCAAATTAGTAAACTTAAAATACAGATAATTTAATTGTAGCTTCTGAAATTGACATAGATTCTGGTAAGAAACAAAAGTTCAAGGTTATTATCAATACAGAAATTCAAAGGTACTACATAATAGCCTTTATCAAAATCGATTCTGCTATTGTAAGAAAATAACGTAATTCAATAGCAAAATTCAAAACAAGATTGGCCAATAATTTTACTCATAAGTTAAAAACTTCTCTTAATTCAACACTAGCATATTTATCAAATGCTACTAATGATAGAAATGTAGATAAGCATGTCTTATAATCTTATATCCATCCCTCATACATTCATTCAAAAATATAGTTATATTAAGTATAAGATTTACTCGATTATCTCAATAAAGATTAAGATTAAATTGGATTGCAAGTAACCAAATTTAACCTTCAGTAATCTCTAAGTTAAATATATGAATTTATCGAGTATTAATGCAAAGTTAAAAATATTACTGTTAAATTTTTGATAAATGGAAATGATTGGAAATTGCAAGAAAAGTAAACTTCAATATATAATTTTAGTTAATTTTATCTTTATTCAGATTGTCAAAAATTTGAAAGGGTTTTATTCAATTTAATCAACAATTCATACAGATTTGCTCCTTTAAATGGAGAATTAACAATTGATCTAGTCTATGATTCTGCAAATAATAAGTTACATGTAAAAATCAATGACAGCGGAGAAGGAATACCAGAAGATTAACTCAATTTAATAAATACTCATGCATAATTATAAAATAAGTTTAATGTTACTAATAAATATGTATCTGCTAAAAATAAGTCTAAATTTGGATTAACTTTGCAGATCACGAATAAATTAATATATATGTTGAGTGATTCAAACTGTTCCTTGTAAGTCAAAAATGATAAACAATAAGGAGGATGTAGTTTTGAGTTCTTTATTATTATTAATTCTACATCCACAGAATGAATAGTATACTCGAAAAAGTACTCTAATTATATTAAGGAGTCTAAACAATCGTCAATCAGGTAACAAAATAAAATAAACCGTTCTTCTAAATCCTCTTCTTAAAGATCAATTTTGACTAGGAATCAATTCTTTGATCCAATAGAAGATGAACCAAAGCCTCTAAAGCCTAGATTGTCGAGAACCTATTAAATTCACGAGTCACGATATTAGAATAATCAAATAAAGAGGCCAACTCTATCCGGCATACGGGATCTGTAATTATCTCATGTACTTGATCCGATCAATTTAAATGGAACCCCAAATCATCAGGACAATCGTTTCATATTGATAGTGGATGATGAACCCTTTAATCATAACACATTAACTCTAATGCTTCAAAAATTGGGTCACAAATAATTCCTATATAGTTTTAATGGATAGGAGTGTATTGATAAGGTTAAGCAAAATCCCTTGGGCATAAAGACTATTTTTATGGATTTAGATATGCCAATTATGGGTGGATTGCAAGTAAATAATTGATATATTAGACAGGCTACTTAAATACTGATTAAGATGATGACTGAGGGGAAAATAGACTATATACCAATTATAGGTTGTACTGCTCATGACGATTTTGAGACACAAATAAAATGTCTGAAGATTGGGATGGCTCACGTGGTGACTAAGCCTGTTTTTATAAAGAGCTTACAGGAGGCTTATCGATAGATTAGAGAAGAACAAATAATCTAAGAACATCGTAGTGTTTAAATTTCAAATTCATTAGATAAATATTGAAATTTACACTCTTTTTATAGTCTTTCTTATGAAAAATTAATATATATATTAGTTAATTAAAACATTATTTCAATATTTTAATAAATCAATCTTCAATATTAATAAAAACTGTTTTTAATTCTCCAAATTTAATTATTTAGTTCATGAATTTTTAATTTATTTCAATATTTATGTTATAGGTGTCATAAATGGGACACGACTTTTATAATTGGGTGCTTAAACCAAAATTTGATATTGATTCTGATTAGTGGAATCCTCTTCTTTTTTACTTTACGTATTCTATTTAAACATTATAAATAGTCATTTACCTCACAATTATTAAAAACAATAAATACATTTACCTCTCCTATGCTATTGGGTGTTGCTTTATTGGATATCGAGTGTATTTTTACGGTTCTGCTTAACTTTGGTCCTCATTTCAACTGCTAAATTCAAATTTCAAGAGAAATAATCATTTGTAATTAGTTTGTTACATTTTATCACTACTCACATTTGTACTCGTATACAGTTTGCAATATGATGGTTTTTTAAAATTGAGTATGGCCAGTGAAATATTCTAATGTTTAAGTTATATGATTTACATAATATATACGAAGAAAGACAATAAACAAAATTTAAAGATGGTTCAAGGCCTGTTGCTGAACGAAATTTAAAAAAATTGCTTCTTAAAAATTTTCGATAAAAATAGATAATTAATATTTACTTATCCAACAACAGGTGAAACACAAAAGCTATCCTTTGAAAATAATTACAAAGTCTACATGGATTAAGAGTTGAGCAGCTCTCCTTCTAATCAAAAGTCCTTCAATAGAACAAAAACCTTTCATACCACCGAAGATTTCATAACTTATTTGGAAACTGAGGATAATCTTGATAGTTTACACTTTAATTGGTATTTGGCAACAATCACTGATTAACAAACTAAGATAAAGACTAAATACCGTGTTACTCAATAAAAAACCAATGATGATTTGATTGTCCTATATTTTATGAGAATTGATCCCACTATCTCAAAGAAATCTAATGTCAAATTTATGCATCTCAAAAAGGATATTTCCAATATTTTTACTCATAAACTGAAAACACCATTGAATGCCGTACTTGGACATTTAACATAAGCCTATTATGATCAAGATGTGGATATGAAAATACAGAATAACTATATTAAACCTGCTTATGTAAATTCGAAATTACAATTATTTTAAATTCAAGATTTGCTCGAATATCTGAATTCAGATTAAGAAGCATCCTCTTTGTAAATATGCAAAATCAATTTGAAAACCCTCTTTATATCATTACAAGAGTTGATCCAGACATAATGCTCAATGAAAAACATACATTTATTATTCACTATTAATGACATTAAGTATAATAAAATGGATAAGTAAATTATATTCAAATTAATTTAGGATCTGTATCTATTCTGATGTTCTAAAACTTGAAAGAGCCCTATTCAATTTATTAAATTTATCTTATAGAAACACTACCTAAAATGGAATCATCTCCTTAAATGTAACAATAGATAAAGATGCAGAAGATGCCTCATTCTAAATATCAGATATGGGAATGGAATTGTCATAAGAAGAAATAGATGACATAAACTAATCGATTGTTTGTTATAATTTATTCAAGGTTTCTAAGAAGAAATCCCATTATTAATAAGAGATGTTAACAACTCTGTCATTAACAAGCAAATTGATAAAGTCTTTGAATTAATTCAATAACTAATCTTTAGAATTATGTTAAACAGAAAACAGCGGTATTGTATATAAATTTAAAATTAACATCAATAGAGAAAGATCGGCTGATAGTTCTCTTGAATAATACAAAATTGGATACATTTTAAAACAAAGAAGTTGTAGATTACTGCATACTCATCATAATATCTCTTAAAAATCGATATTTTCCGGATAAGATTTAAGCATTCCAATTCTTGAGGACTCAATTGATGAACCTTCTGCCAATACTCCAATCATTGTGAAAATGAGTTTGCCATCTAAGAGAAGTTAGCAGCAACAGAGATAAATATCGGATCAGCCATAATAGTTATCTTAAACATAAATTGATTAAACAAAATCAATTCTGATTGTAGACGATGAACCATTTAATCATGATACATTAATTTTGATGTTAAAATCTTTGGGATTTCAGAGTTTTTTTAAAGCTTTTGATGGACAACAAGCTATTAATATAGCCATTGCAAAATAGAATGAAATTCATGTTGTGTTTATGGATCTTGACATGCCGATTATGGGTGGCATAGAAGCAACCAAATTTTTAGTAGAAGAGATGATGAAACTCAATATGCCATATTTTCCTATAATTGGGTGTACTGCCCATGGAGATGCCGATTCAATTGAATAATGCATATAAGCTGGTATGCTTCACGTGGTTGTGAAGCCCGTATTTATAAAGAATTTGAAGGAAACTTTCAATTTGATTTCGGATCATCCTTAATAGACTTATAATCGCATAGGATCACTGTAATTTTGATGAAAAACAAAAGTGTATTATAATATAATAAATTCATCACAATAATTGGCCCCCAATACTTTTTTATAATCCTTATCTGTCTGTTATGATTCTACTATGCAATTTTGAGTCTCTTTGATCAGTAAATATTAACATTGATCCAGAACAGTTAACTCCTAGCTTTTGTTCCCTCGATTTAAAGAGGTGATCATTCGACTTTAAGAGATGATCAGGGCTTTACATTTAAATTACTGATTCATCCTATTGTAAATCCAAAAAGTTCTTTTTCCTTTGGGATTAAAGGGATTCCCTAAGTGCCCTAGTGACTTTTCTGAATTTCATTGAAGATGTGCTACTTTGTTTTGGGGAGAAGAGTTTTTTACAAAAAGACAATCGCATAAACATAGGGAATTTGAGCTTTAGATAGTCTTTAATTTTGTTAATCAGAATTTGATTTTTGTAAGTATATTCTGAGATGATCTTGCTAAAGATGTAGTATAAAAATGTGCAATTGACTTCCAAAATGATGACGTAGAATATGTAGATGTAATTTCTCATTACAGTCAGTAACATTTGATATGAGGATGCTCCCAATACAATACTAATGGATAGTACTTTTGATCCAAAATCTTCCATTTAATTCAAATTCTTAGTTTTGAATGGCTAATACGATTTGGTTAATGATTAATACCCTTGAATCAATAAAAATACCATTGTAGCTTTGAGTACTATGTATTGATCAAAGAGAGTAATGATAATAATAACTAGATTCTTCATTCCCAATCTTACTATCTCCCAAAAGTAGGCGTTTTCATTAAATTCAGAAAACAAGTAACCCCAAGTAGATTTAATTTTGTTCAAGTCATCTTTATTTTTATACAGTTTTATAAACATGAGCAGAGGAATTACAATGGACAATGAAAATAAAATTGGAAAAGCCAAAATAGCCGAAACATAGAAGTTTTTATCATATCTATAAGAAACATCGCCAATTACCCAATAATATCCTGAAATTTAACGAAATCCTATTATTGAAATCAAAACTCCAATCATACTTGGCTGCATAGTGACAAATGTCTAGAGTAAAATGATGGCTGATACACTTTGTTTGTATTGTTACTTTCTTGCAAAAATGATGAACATATATAAGAAAAATACGAAACCCAAGTAAATGAGGGGTGCCAAAATAATCCAAATTATTCGCGAATGTAAAATGTCGTAAGGTATGGTCATCAAAAAACAATCAATAGAATTTTCTAGAGATTTTGTTTGCGAACCTACACTGCTTATTGCTATACTAACCAAATTTGGAAATTATAATTAGAAAGTTGTTAAAGTAGATATAATTTACAAATAATGGAACAGCATCTTATACAATGAACTTGATTCCTGTTGTTCAGAGTAAGTCTTCAATCCTCCTTTTTTCAATTTACTTCTTAGCAATTCCAACTTTAAATTCTCCAGAGAACTATTCACTGATATCACCATTGAAATCATTGTCCATAAAGCCACGATTAATAAGGAAAAATAGGCCAGATTGGAATCTTAACACTAAAAGCAATTCATATTTGATTTAAAAAATGATCCTTGTCCTCTTACATCATAAATATCACAAGTTTCACAAAGAGCTCCAAAACTTCCTTATATACATGAGTCAGGTCCTGCAACCCAACCTCCTAGACACTTTTCAGAACTTATGATACACGGGTAGATTATATCATTATCGTAATATGGTCTCCAGTAGGTGGGTTTAATTTCAATATTTGATGGGATAACACTCTCAATCATTTCTTGGTCTCCCACTGAACATTTAAGACTATTTTCTTTTAAAGAGTATGTTTGAGATACACATTACACACATATTGATTTAGTCAAAACCTCACCTCTTTAGCATGGGAAGGATTTTACATTGATGATGATAGAATAATTATTATGAAATTGTAGAATATGCTAAAACTGACTATCATAAATAGGAATCTTAATGGAATCGCACCTTATTTCAATTTGTAAATCTTCATTTATTAGAAGTCTAAGATTGTCTAAATTATAATCTTGAGTAGTCATATTGAATTAGACATTATCGATAGATAGATGTTCTGATGAAAAATCTAATTATTTTTCCTACATCAGTCTACTCCTGACACTACATTGAGTATCTGATAGATTGTATTATCGTTCATTGTAGGCATTTTAAGGAACTAATCTAAATTTGTAATTTAAATTATTGTAGGTTTCAAAATTGGAAACATAACTTAATTAATTTCCTAATCCATGTTCCGTCAAGTTTTCTTCTAAAATTTAGTAATTTTATATTTCCACATTATTAGGTAACATAATTTCATTAATAACTTCCTCTATCAAACAAGTGTCATTTTTATAACTTACTTTATTCTCAAACATTCTGAAAGTGTCCAATGATAACGCTAATTTCGATGGTTATGATTACAAATTCCCAACCATAGAACTCTCTTGATTATCCAAAATTACATTCCTTCTATTCTTTTGAATTGACAAAGGATTAGTAGAGTAAATACCTGCTCCAGCTGCTGCTCTATTTCCTATTATCTTCGAATCTGTCATTTCCAAAGATCCATCATTCAAATAAATTGCTCCTCCAATGACAGCAGTATTATTTTAAAATAACACAGAGTAACAGGAAATGGATACTCCAGCCGCTAAAATGCAACCACCATTTACTCCTTTATTTTATATAAATTATGTGTCTTTAATTAAGATTTCTCCAATTCTAGTGACTAAATCATTAGCATAAGTGAAAAGTAATCTATTTTAATAAGTCTTTTGTATGTTTAAAATTGAACTATTTCCAACATTCTTTATGAATTTTGTTTGTTAAATTACAACACGGTTATTTGTTTCAATATAAAAGATATTACATAAAGTACATTAAATATCAGAAAAAATAACAGAATTAATCTACACTTCAGATTCAATGTTGGACAATTGAAAAATGTCGTAAGTTTAGTAGTCCTATGAAATGGTGATATTTTCTTCGCATTATTTTGTGTAACTATTAAATTAGGAATGTAATGTATATGGCTCATTACTACATTCTGACTTCAATTCTTCTAATTAATATTCAGAGTAAACACATATGATCTTGGTGTAATTTTGGTATACTCCGTGAAAGTGACTATTCATTATTATTATTTGACCAATTGAACGGTCGAAAAATACTAAGGGTCTTTTTTGAATGATGAAATTAATTACATCCACTGTGTCTATGATGACTGAATAACTTTGCTTATTCGTCATTAATCCATAACCAATGATGTTGTGGATCACCAAATTTTTCATTCTTATTATCCCCTTTTGGGTTTCAAAGAGCACAGAATCATAAGTGTCGAATGTAAATTTGTAAATAAGATCCTTTATTTCAATTAATTTTAAATAATCATTATATCCTGCTTTAGTGTTTTGAATAATGCAATCCTCTACTTGCAACGTATATTACTACTGTAGAAAATCACTTATCTCAATTGAAATCACTGATGATTATAATGAATGTGCATCATTTATTGAAACATTTTAGAATTTGACAGACGATTAATCAGATAAGGTGATCATGACAAATCCACCCTTATCGAAGCTCCAACTATTTTAGATCGTACAATTAATAATCTGAAAGTTTAACTTGGAGCCTTTGCTGTCTATAATGAAGGATCCCCCTTGACTCTCAAGTTATCCAATAATAGCCTATCCATTCTTGAACTGTGTATTAACAATTGAAACTATTCCATTATTAAGGGTTATCACATACATGCAACCTCCTTTATAGCCAATATAGGTTTCAAAATAGCTATTGGAAATTTAGATTTCTTCTACATAGATTTGAGCTATTCCCCCATAACTCTTAACTTTATAATCATATTCCAACTGCTCCATGTACAATAAGTCTTCATATTTAGAGGAATGCACTTGATAAAATAATTTATTTGGGTTATTTATTTCCGTAAAACTGCAGTTTGATATTATCACTTTTTGACACTAAATATACATATTGGAATTCAAGGAACCTATGATTAAGTTTGATCTAAATGAATTATTATAAAAATAAACAGATCCCTAAGGAATTAAGAAGTACAAATTATTGGCTGAAGTTCCATATGTATTTAATCCAATATATTCCTTATATATGGTGTTTAAGAATTTAGAATTTGTAAAGTTGATTGAAATCGAGTTTTTGGATTCTATGACTATGAATGCCACTGTAATATTATTGGTAGATTTGATAATCAGTGAATCTTGGAATGTGGAATTATTGATATTAATCAAACATTTGAAATTAACTTAGGTACTTCCTATCTTAATTACAGGTTGGTTGTACGTGAATATATTGGTAAAATTTACTATTTAGAAATCTACCTTTTTGATGTTTAATAAATTGATGATCGGTTTATTTGAATCTAGTAGAGTAATGCAATTCAAACTCCCTGATAATCCAGTTAGCTAATTTTATTAATGAATTGTAATGTTTTTAAAACTAAAGAGGTCTAAGTCAGTTGCTTCAATTAGGGCACTAATTTGATCCTAGAACTCTATTACGCTATCATATAAGGAGAAGGAATTAGTCAGAATTTAAAAAGCAACATTGACATCTAATCCCATTGAGAGCATAAACATATTTAAATTTGTAATTTAAAGTAGGGTTGACGATTCCACATATAGAAAACTTGAAAATTGAGTAATATAGTTCAAAGAAAATTATACTTTGTCTAATATGATATCAGATATCAAAGTTTTTTAAATGACACGTATAAGGTAACTATTTTAAGTGATGTAATTTGCCTCAAAAAGCGAATTTTGTAATTATAATTCTGATGATTGACATATTGATGAAGAATCGATTATAAAGTTCATAAGGATCTGAAGCTGATTGAATTGAAGATCTTAACCTTAAAATGCAAAGGAAATTTCAAGAGTACTTAATTTCATAACAAAGAAATGAACTTCACCTTATTAATTAATAGCAAATAATGTTGATTATTTTAAGTTATTTGACTCAACAGTGATTTAATTTAGAATTAATTCCTGTACATTTTAGAATTTAAATAAAGTTGAATTTGTTAAATTCAAATTAAATAATTAAACATTCTAGATGATGACAGATTAGATTGGTTCTACTTTCAATAAAGATTCTAGATTGGAAAACTAAAATCCCGCGAATTTCATATTGATCATCGAAAAAGTATTCAAATTAGCATATTCAAAATGTATGAATCCACTACCTTAAAAGTTTGCATTCTAAAATCCAATATTTGTTTGATCTAAGTTGAAATTGAAAGTAATAGAAGCATTTAAGCAATCTATATTCAAATTTTTAATCCAGAAGGAATGAAATTCTTTTATGTAGATATCTCCTGAAAAGTAAATAGTTGAATTTGATGTCATTCCCAGAAGATATAATGATACATTTTTCAATGAATAGACATTTGCTGAGAACTCCTAAGAAATCACTAAATTCTTAGGGAAAGTGCATGTTTAAGTAGTAAGATATATGTTCAAAGTCTGTACATTTTATTCATTCATATAGTTGAACAGCCCTTTTGAATACAGCAATTAGAAGACAAAAGATAGATCAGATTCTTAATTATAAGGTATGTCAAAAACATTTGCAGTTGGTTAACCCTAGAGACAAATTAAATTTAAAGTAATGGACATACTCATTTAACAAGCTGATTCATCGGGACAATTGCTGAATTAATAAATATTGGAATCAAATAGTGAATCTTAAGAAAAAGGCAATAGGCATTAATTAGTGAATTAAGTGATGTTGACATCTGTTGCCGGAGCACAAAATTTACATAAACTGTGACATTGATAACATATCTTATTGCTAGTGCTGAGTATTAATCCATTACTTGAATAGGAACATTTGGAGCAAATTTTGGAGTTGTTAACAATCAAACATTCCGAACAATCTGAAGGACATTTATTGATACAACTATCATTATATACTTCATAGCCTATTTTACATCCAGTGCAGATCACTTCAAAGTCATTTGGATTGCTCGACTCTACATAAGTCAGATAGTCGTGATTAAGATTCTTGTTCACATAAAATTCGTAGAATGGCCTGATATCCTTTTTCCAATTACTCTTATTTTTCTTGAATTGTTGGGAGCAGGATAAACAACCATTTGGACATTAGACACACATTCCCACAATATGATCAGCATAATAGCCAGGAAAACAGTTTATGCAAATCACTTTATTAAGATAATTCACACATTCATAACAATTTTATAGTTTTAATTCACAACCCAATATTGATGTTGCTTATTCTCCACCAATTAAACAATAAAAGGTACCATTGTAGAATCCTGATTCTTAACAGAGTTGTGATGACTTATAACATACAAACGTAAGATTTGAAAAAGATTATCCAGAGATACATCTAGCACAAGTGCTTGTAATTAACGAGCTGATATCCATTGGTTAAAAGTATAAATCAATTGTAGTTTAGGGTTAATCCGCTATAAAATATTGGGAAATACCATATAGACAGCCCTTTATTGTAACTGCCTAACATTTAAGAGCATCAAATGATATTTCTTAAGTTAACGGATCTGCACATTTTAAGCATCTATTGATGTAAGACTGTTTAATTTCATCGAAATAGAATTCACATATTGAACATTAGGCACCACATCCATAACATGTTCCATTAAACAGGGCAAACCCTGGTTAGCATGCCTAACAATTCGATGTTGAATTACAAGTGACACAATTAATTGGACACTTCTGACATTTAGTGCCATCATATCCATAGAGCCTAATGCATTTAATACATATTTTTAAATTATTGCAAGTTCTACAACTACCCATACATTTCTAGCAAGTATTGCCTGATACAAAATACCCTTTTTTGCAGGAGAAATAGTATTGATTATATTGAATACACGTTAACTTTGTGACATCATTGCAATACTTTAAGCATCCGTAACACAATTCCAAATTCTATAATTAACTATTGATGTAAAAGATCTCTTATAGGCTTTCATTTCTATCATATCTGATATATGTGGATATCAAGGAATATCTCTTATAATCAAAGGTGCAAACTGGATTTTGATACCAGGTAGCTGCATTGAGTAAGCAATCTGCACAATTCAATTGATAATCATTGATAGAACTTGGACATGGCATACATTTATTATCAATTTAGAACTCTCCATATTTACATTTAAAAGTGTTGTTTTAATAGGTTTAATTCATAATGGGATACAATTCATTCATTTTATTGCATTTCTGAGCTAATTCTAAATCTACAAATCCGAATTCACAAGCACAAAACCCATATTTCCATGATCTGTGAGTATCCTATGGACATGTGATACAATCACTCTGAGTTGGACCATTACAAGTTAAACATGAATAATGACATCTAATCTAAAATGACTACTCTTCCTCATAATTGTAAGTTATTTCCAATTAGATTTTGCCACCCAAATAACTTTTATAAAAATAGCTGTCTGCTCCAACGTATAAGTAAACATATTGATCATGAAATTGCAAAGCACTAAATGTCTAAGTCAATTCTTAATCATTTGGATAGATTACTTTTAAGTAAGTCTTTTCTACCAAATATTAAAAATAAATATAATGCCATCTTTGGAATCTATCTCGATTCGTTGTATTTTAAATCAGAAATACATTGGAATTTTTGGTTTAGAACGCCAATTAAGATTAGGGAAAGGGGTAAGCTAGAACACTCACATTAAATAAATTGTAATTATTTGAACTGGGATCCAAGATGTAACTCATCAATAAGGCTCTATCTCCCAGAAAACTATCATTACGATAATTCTCATTCAAAGTCAATCTCATTAATAAATACCTCTGTCTTTCAATAACATTCTCAAAACTGACCTTTACCCAACACCTAACTTGATATCTATAACCCAACATTTATAATTAGGTTGAGTAAAACGTATCTCCAAGCAATTGAATTCCATCAAAAATGTCAACAATAGTTTTATTATAAGATTACGGACTTTGTAAATTACTCTTAAAATAATCATCAAATTCCTTATCATTAGTAAATGGCAATCTTGTGAAACCCTATACTTTACTGTACTTCCCATGAAAATAGTCAAAATTCAAGCTATTGACCTAAGCAATAAGTTAAATTTTTTAATACCTTTCCATATTAATTCAATACCGGGATTATGTTCTTAGTATTCAAAGCTACACTCTGCAATTTGCTGCCCCTTATATATAGCTTTGATCCTCCCTCCAGATTCTCAAAATAGGCATAATACCAAATTCCTTCAAAATTTATTGGATCTTAAGTTAAATTAGTAATTGTTCCATTATCAGACACTGTAATATTCAGTACCGGAGAATTAAAAGAAAGCCACACATATAGTTTTTGTGTAGGTGCTTCCGAATGAAAATTGTAATTTGCCATTACATTCTGACCTACATATATGGATTTGTCATTCAATATGAATTCTCCGGATGCCTTTATATTAGAAAAAGGCAAATATTGAAACCAAAATCCGTAATGGGTTGTCACTGAAATAGACTATTTAATTAAAAGTAATAAGACTAGCATATAATATAATTATTCAATTAAATTAATTTGGAATAAAATTCACTTCATTTTCTTTGTCTGCAAACAACTTTCTCTTCACATTTTTGATATCTGATTCATTCACTTTATTGGATGTTCCCAATATTTTCTAAGGCGCTTTTGGGTTGTTTGATAACTTAGTCAATTTCTCAGGAGTCGACACATTTTTCACTTCATCATTTTATTTTGCCTTCATATTATAAAATAATTATTAAACTTTGTTCTTCAAAATTCTAGCAATTTATTTTAGTGAATTATTAATGCTTTTAAAATTTAGACATTTTTGTTTTCAATTTTTTTTTAATTATATTTCTACTTGTACTATAATTTAAATTGTCTCTATTAAGAATAAATAATATTGATTTTTCAATTATGTCATTTCAGAATGACAGCAATTTGATGCTCTTATTTCCAACTCAAAATTTCACAGTATTTACAATAATTGAAATATGTTAGACATAATCAATTATTAGTTTATAAATTCTATATGCCATTATAAATCGAAATTAATCAATTATTGTTTTTTTAAATAAATCTTTAATTTAAATATGCTCATATCAACTGTAAGGGATAATAAATCTAAAGTCTGTATTTGATATAATATCAAAAAATATCATTAGCATTTTTGATATTAAAAATATTATAAGATATCATAAACTGAAGATTTACTTCTTTTACTATTCTTCCAATGAGTGAATACACATGCTGTTTACATATTTAATATTTATTTATTTTGGAATCATTGAATTCAACATAACATAGCTTGTTTAACTCTTATTGTTTAATTGTAGAAGAACATTAGATATTGAATCAAATGGAAAGTGTAATACATATACTCATGAAATATATGGTTTTGTATATTAATTTTTATTCTTAATTTAATATTAAAATGGCAGAATTTAAAGAAGTATAAAATTAAGTAAAAAAATAGGACAAATTCTTTCGTAAGTCAGGAGATTCAGATGATTCTGTGGAGAAATTAAAAAAAAAAATATCCAAGCCAAAGTAATAAAATTCAATATCCACGTCCTAAAAAATCAAAGAAATGTTTAAAAAGTAACAATTCAAGGAACTTGTTAATTGGGCAGAAAAAGATACTTCTATCACTCTTCATGAATATGATGAAATGAAAGTGAATTCCCAAGTGTTGAAACTTGGATAATATGCTTTAATAAAAAATGCTAAAAATCCTTCTGAAGATTACGTTGGTAAAATCTAAAGAATAGTTACAATAAAGGAGAACAAATCAACAAAATTAATTTGTTTATGCGAAGTTAACTGGTATATCTACAATTCATCAAAGGTTTTATCGAAAAAGTGAAATAATAAAATTTAAACCCCAAGCCAAATAATGGATATCCAATAACGAAGTCTTCAGCACAAATTGCACAGATTATATTTTGGCCTCCACAATATAGTTACCCTGTCGAATTGTAACTTTGGAAGAATATGAAACATCCTCTCAAGTTGACAAAGGAGTATTTTTCACTAGATTAGAATGGCTGCCTACTAAAAAGAAGTTTGATGGCTTATCTAAACTTTAACATCATTGTACTTGTAAATAACCCCAAAATCCAGATTAAATCTATATTTAAGTAATTTCTTATCTATAATTTTAGTGTGACAAGTGTTAGAAGTGGTATCATATTACATGTGTAGGACTGAAGAAAGGAGAGTATGAATAGAAAGAATACATTTGTGGTTGCTGTAGATGAAATATAGTTAATATTATTATTTTAAAATATGGGAATCGATTCTTTATTAAAAGCTCTGAAATCTGTCACAAAACCAAGACATATTTCTGAATATTCGAATAAGAAAATTGCTGTAGATACATATTGTTGGTACTCGGTATACTTATGACTTAGGTTGCATAAAGGGATATTCTTATGTGCTTAAGAATTGTCAGAAGGCAGAGAGACCAATGAACATATAAATTATTGCTTAAAAAAAGTAGAGTAGCTCAAAAAATATAATATTACTGTTGTTATGGTATTTGATGGAGCAAAACTCCCAAGCAAAAAGTCAACAGAAGAAGAGCGGGAAAAGTAATATAAATATACATATTTGTAGAAGGAGGAATGACAACCTATAAAAGCATTTAGAATTCAAATAACTAGGCGAAAAAGATAAAGCATATTCAAAACTAGTTGAATCTATAGATGTTACTCCTTAAATGGCATCTAGATTATTGGATGCATTGAGGACCAGGAATATTGAGTGCATAGTTGCCCCGTATGAGGCAGATGCTCAATTAGCATATCTATCCATAACAGAATACGTGGATGTAATCATAACTGAAGATTCTGATCTAATTGCTTATGGAGCCAGAAAGGTACTATATAAATTGGATAAATTCGGATATGGAGAAGAGATTGATTACGAATCTATTCAAACTTGTACAGAATACAACTTTTAGAATTGGCATCATTAAAAGTTTCTCACCTTTTGTATCCTATCAGGATGTGATTATTTGGGTTCAATAAGTGGAATAGGAATTAAAAGAGCCTATTAAGTAGTAGCAACATCATAAAATTATAAATAAGCCATTGATAATCTACAGAGGAAACAGAAGGTCTCCGTTCCTTTTGATTATGTCGAATAGTTTGAGAAAGCATATCTAACTTTTCTATTTCAGAGAGTGTTTTGTCCAGTTCAAAGAAAAATGGTCTCTGTGAATACTTTCGACACTGACCTGTTATATCCTCAAATGAAATCCCTTTTGGAAGGAAATCTTGATTTTTTAGGCAATGTTTATACGGATACTCTGATTCAAGATATTGCTGATGGTCGAATTTGTCCATAAGATTTAAAGCCATATTCTCAATCATCAAAGAACTTAAAACAATAAAGTTTAGATAATAAATAATAAAATGAAAATAATGATCAATTAGAAATACCAACTTTTGGTAACAGTAGACCAGTTCAAGTTTTCAAATTTATTAAAAAATCACAATCTACAAAAATAAACCCTGAGGAATCTTTTGAAAGGTCTGGAGAATCAAAAGTCATCAATTAGTCTCAAATTATTAATTCAAAATCGACTGAGGATAATGAAAAATATTTAATAGAAAATCAATAAATTTAAGAATAAAGTAATCTATTCTCAAGCTAATAAGAGACTCTTAAATAAAAGTCATTGATCAATTCTAATATTCTGGCTAATCAAAATAAAAAGAAAAGTTCTAAAATTATTATCAAGCATGAATAAAAAAAAATCAATTAATATTTCTAACCTTCTTTCAAACCACCACCATCTGTTGTTTAATAATAAGAGTAAACACCTTCAGAAGTCAATATTATTGAAGAGGAAATACAAAAAATCGAATAGAAAGTTGATTCATAGGTTGAAGAAGAATTCCAGCAATATAGTATTTCGGAGGAGTACTCTGATAATTTTCAAAAAAGGTTTTATTACACTGATTTTGGTTTTTTCTTAAGTCAGGAACTCCAGTTTAAACAAATTTAGCTTTGAAATTTTGTATTTTTACTTTATTATTATTTTTATTTTTTCCCAATGTCTATCACTTTGAACAATAGATATGAAATAGATACTTCAAAATATATTAATAAAGGAACCTATAGCATAGTATTTTATTGCAAAGATAAAGATAATGAATAATTATAATTAGCTGCAAAGGTAATCTTCATTTTGATTTTTAGGTGATTTCAGACGATTCAGAGAATAACACTAAATCTATATAAGAATACTAAATTTTAAACTCGTTATAAGATTTCCAAAATCCACACATTGTAAAATGTTATGATATTGGCAAACATGAGGGGAAAATAATTATTATAATGGAATATTGTGAATTGGGAGATTTGAGTAAGAAAATTAATGAGATGAAATAACAAAACTAACGATTCACAGCTGAATAGATTCTGGACTTTATTTATTAAATTGTAGATGGTGCATATCTTCTATATTAAAATAACATTTTTCACAGAGATATGAAACCTTAAAACATTTTATTAACAAGAGATTTTGAATAAAATTTATTATGCAAAGTAATTTTTATTTTATATTTTAGATTTGTGACTTTGGATCAGCCAGATTAGTTCAAGATATGGGATTGAAATAAGATTTCACAAAATTTTGTACACCTTAATATTAATCTCCTGAAATTTATAAAAAATAACTATTTTCGCCTTAATCAGACATATTCTCATTTGGATTAATTATATATGAATTATGCCTTTTAAAATATCCATATAATAATTCGGAGAGAGAAAGTTTCTTTGAATAACTGAAGAATAAACCATTCGAAATTGATTTGAGTACTATTGAGGGTAACGAGGAATAGATAAATTTTATTAAATTAATTTTAGAATAGACTATAGTGTACGATTAAGAATCTAGATTTAATTGGTAGTTCTTACATGATTTAATTACAGAATTTAAATAAAATTCATAAGCCACATATGAATAATAAAACAAAGACAATTCTTGTTATACTATTGCTAAATAACATGTTAATTTGTTAATTAGTAAATTATAATTGGCTAATGCTTTGATGCTTCAATTCTAACTTTGTTTGTAAATATATATTTTATTTTAAGTAACAATCAATAACTGGATATTTCCATAGATATTTTCAAATTAGCTTTTACTACACTAGCTTGTTGTAAACACATATTGGGTATGTCAATAATTTCCTTTATGGAGTGTAATTACAAAACTTTAAGTTCAAATCTCAAAGAAATAATAAATAAAGAGATGTTTTAATAATTATCTGCAATTTACAAACAAAAATTCAAACAAGATCCTGATAACAATTTTAATTTTGATGATTTTGACATTAAGAAGTTTGATTATGCTTTGGGAGTAATTATTTTTTAAACCTTTTAATAGATGGCCAAACTTTAAATTATTTGGATAAATGATTTAAACAAAAGTTATCAGAACTAATTTAAGGATTTAAATAATCATTTTATTCAATTTACTGCATTTGCTAATAACATAGGAATTTCTTAGAGTTATGGAGATTATATATGTCTATGGAATGATCTATTTGAAAATCAAATAAAACCAAAGATTCCATATAATAATTAGCACGAAGACCTAATAATGTAAATATATGAATAACTTAATTATAAATAGTTTTTAGAGCTTTAAATTTAAGTTTTAGCACAAGCGAAGTATATTACCCTCAAAAGAATTGTAATTAGATCCTGAATTTACTTGAATACCCAAAAATGAAGTTTGATGAGGCAGATGCTAGAAACTTTTTAGCATGATTTTTTTTCAATTTATGTAATAATTTCTGATTTAACTCCTTCGCAACGTTAATTTGTGTAAAATTAAAAATAAAAAAAAATTTATTCAATATTTTTGCTTGATCATGATAAAAGATAAATCTCCGATTTAAAAAGGAAACTATATCATTTTAAGAGATAAACTGATAGGAAAAGGAAGGCATTCCTTCATTTATGATTGCGTCAATGAGCTTGATAAATAAACTCAATATTGTGCTAAAATATTTTTCAATACTTCAATCCCAAGAACTTTGAAAATTGATAACCTAAAAAACATTAACAACGTAAATCTCTTGAAATATTATGAAATATTTGAACACAACAAGGATGTTATCATTATTATGGAAAGATGTGATGGTAACCTAAAAGCAATTATTGACAAATAACCTCTAACTGAAATGGATACATATAAATTTTTAAGGCAATTCTTAGGAGGGTATTAAACAATAATTGATGTTGATTTAGATTTGAGAGAATTGAAACCTGTAAATATTTTAGTTAAGAATAACGTTTATAAAGTATATCATATTCTATTTTGACAAGATATCCAATTATGGTATATCATCTTTGTATAAGGCAGTAGAAGGGGAAACTAAAGCATTCTCTGCTCCAGAGATATTTTATGAAAAAGAACAAACTAGAATTAAGGATATATTTTCAGTATTTATTTAATCGAATTTATCAGCTTGGATTAGTCTCATATTTTGCTTTTTACAACTAATTACCTTATGCATATCGAAGTGCAGTTGATCAAGTAGCATTCTTTAGATAAATCAAGCAAATTGACTTTGAAATAAAGAATGAAGTATGATTCTACATCTAATTTAGGGGCCTCTAAAGTTGAAACAATTATTACAGTCAATGATCATCTATGATCCATCAAAAAGAATTAAAATTGAAGAGTTATAGTTGTAATTGGACATGGACAATAATATGATATGATTATATTATCTTTAATAGATTATATATAATATTTTCAATTATATTGTCTAAATTGATTAAGTTCATCTTCGATTTCCTGATCCTCTTAAGATTTATATAGGATATATACATTGAGCATGATTGTTTGAAAGTGAATGGAACTGATCATTATCATCAATATCTTCATGCTTCATCTTTGATCCAAGTTAGTCATTCTTCTGTAACAAGGGCTAAAACTACTTGAACTACTTACTTTTTAAATAAGAGCATTTGTAACTTTGAATTTTGCTTCCAGTTCATAAATGGCTCCAGATTCCTCTGATTCAGCTAAAACTAAATTTACTACTTCCTCTTGAACTTCATTTGTGTAAAACAAACTTAAGTTTTTGATTATCTAAGTTAGTTTGGCACTGTTCCCGAAAGAGCAAATCACTTTAACCAAGCAATCTAGTAATTGATTTGGAAATTATAAATTAGGAACTTCTGGGTAAAATCCTTAATCTTAATAATTAATTTCAAAACAATACTATAGGGCTATCTAATTTTCTTTTTAACACTTTGCTGTTATTGTTCCCTTCTGGTTCTTTTCTCTAATAACTATTGTGGAGAAGGTTTCCTCTCAATAATTCTTTCTTCAGATGGTGCTTATTTAATCTTTTTGATATTTTTTTGAATAGGCTATTATTGAGCAGGTTATTATTGTTAGTAGGTCTATTGAGGAGGTTGTTTTTATTATTATTTACCACTTTTGATTCTGGCCATCTAAAACTCTATTTAAATTATTCAAATTATGCGGTAAATTTAAAATAGTTAATTAAACACACTTTTATAAAATTTAAATTATAATTTTTGAATGTATTTATTATTTTAATTAATATTTTTTTTCATAAACTATTTGTTCTAATTCTAATGATCTAAGAAGGTGATTTGGCCCAAAATTTATCAAGTGGAAATGCTGTTTCTAAAGAAAGAACTTTGTTGATTTAGTTTTAATTTGGAAAGACAGCATTATCAAACCATTCATTGAAAAAGAATACAAACCAAGCCAAATAGCTTGAATAATTATAATAATCGTTATCTCTCTCACTAACTTTTAAATAGAATTCTGGATACTGCTCTTAAAGTTCAGGAATCTATGATACAAATTGTTATGAGTCCTACATTTTATACATAAACTTACTCTATAATAAGTATTTATGTGTCCCAATTATGACACAATTATTCCTCTTAAAAGTTCACAATCTTAAGTATTGGAAGCAGAGTACTCCTAGATAAGTTCATTAAATTTGGGAAATATCTTGATGAGGGAACTATGACAATAACTCACTTAATTTGTACACATACCCATAGTATTGGAACAAGCAAAATATTTGTAGCTTAAAAGGCAGAATAATAAAATTTATAATTAATTTTCCGACATACTACTTTATTGATCTGAAAGAGCTATAGCCAAATCATATGCAACATCGCCTTTTGACATGATTATCTCAGCAAGGTGCTTCAGGCCATTAAGATTTTATGCATCCTCTAAAGAATTATAAAATTTTATTGAAAAATGATAATATGGAGTATTAGGCCTCTTTTAGAATTTAACCTATTGTTTTGATACTAATAATGATGATCTCCTGAAATGGGCTGGTTACAACACTTATTATCCATTAAATAAGGGATGAATAAACAGGTCATTCCAACCAATTCTCTGTTTTTCTTCATAAGAAAGCATTTATTCTATTAGAACACAGACCCGAATATCCAACTATTATTTTTAATTTTGCTTACATTTTCATCCCTTGGACATGTAATTTTGTTTTCCTAAGTTTTTCTCAATAAAGTAATCTACTCTGCCTAGGTTTTTACATTAATAGGTTTTTCCTTAAAAATTAGTTCATAAAAAATAACCCCTAACTAACTTATTAACACATTATTTACAGAGTAAACATCACATTTATTAGTGTACTTAGAGTCAAAGAAGATTTAAGGGGCAGAATAGGCAGGAGTTCCAATATTTGTAGATTAAGAAGGACTTATGAATATACCCATTCCAAAGTCTGCTAACTTTGAAATAAGAACAGAAAATACCTTATAAAATCCACTTGAAATAAGAATGTTTGCTGGCTTGATGTCTCTGTGTATAAAGTCGACATCATAAAGACTCTTATAGCCTTTGATGATCTGAGCTACAATGTTCAAGCTTTCTTAATGAGTATACCACTCATTACGCTTTTTCTTTTATTCCATTTCTTTCTTTAAATCACCTCCCCTGCAATATTCCATAATAACATAAACTTCAGAATCTCTTTCATTTTAAATCACATCAATTATATGAACAATATTTGGGTTCTAAATAGGGGAGCTTCTAAGCATTCTTAAAATTTGTATTTCTCTATCAGTGAACTTCTTTTATGCTCCATTTGACAATATTTACTAATCTTAAATTGAAGATTACTTTAGCACAGAATTCTTCCCCATCACAAGTAGCTGTATAAACTAAACCAAATGATCCTTTTCCGATCATATTTTTCTTGTTCAAAGTGTATATACCAATTTATGCTTCAGATCTCGACATTAATTTTAAATTTAAATATAAAATTATAAAATAGAATTGTGATTAAATTCTAATACTATTTTTAATAATAAAAATATCACGCATAACTGTTTAGGATATCATCTGATTCTTAACAATCATATTCTATTTTCCAAAAAAGATTATGATTGAATAAAATAGAAATATTTTCACCTATTTAGCTGATCTCCTTCGCATTTTCAGATGTCATTTACAATGAATCTTAACATTTGTTTCCTTGAATTTCATCGTCTTAATTCTATCTGTTTTCTTAATTTGTATCATCGCTCCAGACCTGACCATGATTCATATCCATCAAAATATTCTCATCTTCTTCTAGTTATCCATTATCTTATGAGTTATAAGTATCTAAGTCTTAATCTTGTTTTGATGTTTCCTAATCTTAATCTTGTTATTCTTCTTGAGTCTACTAACCATAATAGGATTCATTGAATTTCTACAAAATCAAATAACTAAATACTTGCAGAATCTACATAATATCTGATTCTTGATCATCTGCTACTTCTGATTTAGCTTTAGGATTTACATTACATAGATAGGGTTTCTCTTTTTGATTAATATTGCATAATCTGTTTTTCACAAAATTAAACCATTATTAATCTAAAATTGATTGATATGTTATACTGTCTTTATAATATTGAAGAATGGATTTGTTTTGCGATTTCTCAATCAGATAATTAGCTAGCGAAGTCAGAAGAGCCAAATATCCTTTTTTATCATTCTCTTCTGTATGATATGTGACAATAAATTCAATAAGCTACCCAAATTCGAAGACCTAAATATATAATGTGTAGATTAAACATGCTCTGTTATTTTTTCATCATCTAGATCAAGAATCGATTTTATGATCTTCTCTGTCATTACATGGATTTAATTATTGGATGAGTATTAAATACAAATGTTTTCTAGCACTTTTATCAAATTAGCATTTAACAGAGTTTCAATAATTTAGATGTCGGATGTTCTATGAATAATTATTTATGAGCATACTGAATTAAGGTTTAAATCAACTTAAGCAACATAATTTTATATAATCCAAATGGTTGGACATTTTCTTAATTAGAATTTTAGAAGTTAGCAGCACTATATCTTTTACTTAATAAATTTTTAGGAATTTCAGATGCAATATTTTCAAAAATGGAATAATCCTTCTCATTATGATGAACCACTTCATCCTCGTCTTCTTTTTTTGATTCCTTAGGAGTCATCTCCACCAAATTGATGAGGACTTATAATGGTTAGGCCTTTTAAGTTTTGATAGCAATTTCAAATAACAATTCTGGTCTTTTGATTTAATCAACAAATGGAACAATATCTGTGTTATTATAGTATAAAGAATTCATATTTTTAGATGTGATTTCAATTAGAATATCACAAATGTTTTCTACAATTTCTGAACAATAATATTTATTCTGCATCAATATAATAATTCTTTATAACAGTGACTTTCTTTCATTAAGATATGTTTCATCTGCTAATTCCTAAGTTGTGTCTAGAACTATTAATTTTTCGATGATCTCAGCTATATGTTTGCAATCAATGTGTTTTAATAAGTTGGATAAAATTTGTTTATCATTAATAATTTCAGACCAAACCTAAAATTTGAATTAGTGATACATCAAAGCCTCGTTTTTTAATAATCGCTAGTAATGCTTTTGAAAAATAGCCTGCAGATGTCATATTGAAAACATCAACCTCGAGAAAGCCCATAAGTCGAGGGAATAAGGTAAATCGAGTCATTTCGTCGTCTGCATCTAAGATTTCCTCTGGTCTTTCGAATAAGAAATCCAATAACTTCTAATTTTAACTGCCCAAAATTTCGCTGCATAGGAATGGGTATCTTTGATAATAATGCTTTTTTGTACTAGATTTAGGCCTTTTTGTCTGTCAATTCATCCTCAACGGAAATTATATAGCGAATCATTTTGTAATACATCACAGGATGCTTGATTATGCTATAAAATTCATTAATTAATAAGGTACTGATCAGCAAATTTATTGGCTCCCATTCCTTTAATTTCCTATAAAATATTATCTGCCTATAAAATATTTTCTAATTCACAATCAGGATCTGCTAACAATGTATCCAATTATTGTTGCTGAGGAAAGAAACGAGCAAAGCTAAAATATGAAAGAGCAATACTTAAAAAACATAATAATTAAAAATATTATATATGGATAATAAAATCAGAATTCATTTTAATAAGTTAAATAGTTTATCTTGAGGCTATTTCGTATGTGATGGAGATTGAACTTATGAGTTTAACTACAAAATTGAGGAAAATCTTCCTTATGATTATGAGAGGCTAAATAATTCTATTAAACTTAATTAAATAAATTACGGCTAGAATTTTCTTTGGCATTAGCATTGTTGCTGGTTTCGGCAAATAAATTTTTTAAGAACATATTCTCTTATAATATTTCCTATTGATTTTATATCAAAATTTCATTATTCTATTTTAGTTCTTCATTTTATTATTGCAACATCTAATTAATCCTATATAGTTCCGTATAATCTGATTCTTGAGTTTCCTTAGACAATAAAGACAAGATCTAGTTGTTTTAAACTAAAATTTTATTTCTCAATTCTAGATCTGTATTTTGTTTTGTTAAACATCTAGGACAGCCCATTTTAAAATTTTAAATTTATCGTTTCTATTATTAAATAATTTGTTAGAGATGAGCAACACTTTCAAATTAATTTATTGAATTGGTATTGGAGTTATAAGTTGTTAATATATTTTCTTTGATATTTTCCTATTCATCGTGATTGCTTTATCTACTCAAAAGTTTTCTACTATATTTCCTAGCATAGGAGTTATTCTCTTTTTCATTGGTTGGAGAGGCATTTTTTCTAACTAATTTTTCTGTCGAATGTTTTTTATACATAGCAGTTAAATTTAATATAATTTAGAATATAATTCATTGAGTTTATTTTTTAATACTATAATTAGTTTTAAATTATAATCAAATACCAAATGAATCTAGACGACTTAAATTCAACAAGTTTAATACAAATTAGCCTTTCTAACTAGTTAGAGAATTTGCTGTAAATAAAAGCTATTCTATTGTTCACATTTGAAACTATTATCTTTATCGATTTTGAATAAATTGACTTTCTTAACACAATTATTCCGAAGAAATTCCTGATATTATTTTAGATGAGTGTGAAATGATATATTATGTTGTGGAAACTAAATGCTCTCAAAAAAAGAGCATTGTTCAGTCTTTCGAAATGATAGCTTTTATAATTTATATTCTATAAATGTTAAAGATTGGAATAATATCCTTACCTGTTTGCTCATACATTTCAGAATAAATGGCGGAATGGTTTTTTCTTTCTTCTTCTTTAACGAAATTAAATTTGCTGCGTAATCCTAAACTACATATATGGGAAAAAAAAGAATCTGAGTCATTATGTAAATGAAAATGCATGCTAAAATTAACAATCCAAACAATGTAGTCATATTTAACGATAAAGTTTCTTATAAGCTATCCTGCAATTACTTTTCAAATGCATAATAAAACTCTAAGTATTCTTGACTACTCGATAGCCTAACCTTATTAGAATTATAATACATTATTAAAATCATCTTGAATTGCGGTATTTCTTGGATACCAATAATCATCTCTTGATTATATACAGTATTAAACCGACATTACAAAGGGGAATTGAGTAACTCAAATTTTGGGCAAGAGGAAGATCCATTTTTCTTTCTTATCTCTTTCCAATCAGTGAAATTAAATCCAGTAATTGTCTAATTGAATATGTATAAAGGTAGATAATGAGCTGAAACTTGATATGGATGCATGATCATAACTCCTTCATCTGAAATCAAATACATTATTTAGAATCCAAACTTTTTCTGACCGATTTCTTGAACAAAATCGCTTCCCAAGAATATTGATCCCAATCCACCAATCAATTTGCCTTATTCATTCACAATAGGCATAGCAGTTGATAATCCAATTCGTTTTTCAGTAAATACTAGTAATAATGCATACTTTTTACACATAAAAGGATTTGTAAAAGTATAATTGTATGAATTATAATCTTATGTTTAATCGTAGTTTCTTTGTAGTTCAATATACCAATCTCGTTACTCTGGTTTGTAACTATAAATTCCTTATTGTCTATTCAAACAAGGATATATCGAAGTTAATTTCTCCTTTACAATATAAGAATAAAAGAAATATTGGTTGATCTCTTTTCCTTAATATAATAGTTAGCCATATGCTTAAACCTATTCTTGCATTTTAATTCCGACCAACTCATCAATTGTCTTTGGTTTACTGTATGAGCTTAAGTTGGAATAGCACATAAAGCAATATGAAATATCTGAACTTCCATATCCTTTAATTATTCGCAAAGGATCAGGAATCTGATTGATTCCACCATATGGCATTTAGAAGGCTTCATTTATTTGAAAATTATTAGAAAGGAGTACTTGCTTTCTCGTGAAGTGATATAATCTATGAAATGAGATTAGTGTGTTACCATCTAATTAGAAATATACTTTTTACTTAGATAGAAGACTTTGTCAAAGTAACTTCTATATAATTTTATAGTATTTGACTGAATCCTATTTGAATTTTCTTTGTATAAGTTATTTGAAGTCTCTTAAAAGTTTACTCTAAGTAGTGAAAGATGAATCATATTTTATGCTAGAACATATGAAAGAATTATAATTGTTTAGACAAAAGCAATTAGAATCAATTAATTTCTGAGCTTCATATTCTAAGTGCATTTAGAAAATATTGAAGGATCCCGTTTCATTTTAGGTAAATATGAATAATCGAAAATGATTAATATGAGTTAAATTTCATAATCAAATATTAATATAAAAATAGATGCAAATTAAATTGCCATTGTTCTCTATAGGAGAAACAAATAACAGATTTGATAAAATTTTGGATTTAAATTAATTAATAGATAAGAGGTCTCTCAAGTATATTTTAGTTTTGCTTATTATAAATTTATACGTGGTAATTTCGAAATTCATAATTAATAATTATTCTGGAACAATCAAAAAATTAATGATAAGTCTAATAATACTCTATTTTATGGTTTCATTCAATTCGATACTCAATTCATGCCAAGTGAATTTATTAGAATCTTTGTACTTCAGCAACAATAATTTATGTTGGAAACAATAATGAGGGAGATATTTAATTTACTAAAAATTAAGCAAATTTTAATGAATAACATTTTTAATTTAAAAAATTAAATAAGTATAGATAAATAGATAAATGTGAATAATTTTCAAATTAAACTTAATTATATATTACAATTGTCTAATTGTTATACATTGTTAATTTGAGAACAATATTCAATCAATCAAACAAAATTAATATAATTATATAATTTTTGTATTTAGAAAAAGAAAGTTCTAAAATAGTTTTCAATTAAAATAAAATTAGTGTTTCTAGTGGTTGGTAATATGTATCAGTTCTTAAATAGTATCACTTTGTTAATTCTTTCATAATTAAAATTAAATGAATCACATTTAACAAGACTTTATTTAGAAAATAATGAAATAATAGTAGCAAGAAAAACACTAATAAGTTAAATAGGAAGAGAATGGTTAGAAGCAAAATATTTAAGTACAATATTTCTCATAATTTGTTTAGTATTTGCAGAAATAATAACTTCTCTCCATAATTCAGAAATGCCAATAACAATAATAACCAATTTAGCAAGCAACGTATAATATTTAAATAGTGATTTAGGAAGTTCCCTTCCTTAATTGAAGTTTAAAATTAAGTGACATCATACTTTTAGTAAATAATTCTGTAGAAGCAAATAATCAATATAAATAATGTATTTGATTAACAATTGCCATATTTCTTACAAATTATGGGAAATTTAATAATCTACGGACTTGAAAATTGTTCAGGAGAAAAGGAAATTGTTTAAGAGATTATAGCATAATATAAATCCAATCCTCTTAAAATTACAATGAGTTGTTCTTTATTCTAGACTATAGGGCTCTTGTTTCGTTCCTAATTAGTATATTATGACTAATGTAATGAGTAAATTATTAATAAAAGGTACGAAATATCTTTCAAATTTTTTGTTGTTCCGTGACGAATTTTGTGACATCTTCTTCAATACATTATACAGTTACCAAATGACTCATGGTTAAACATTTAGTCAATAGATTGGATTTACTTAGATTCATTAAATGATCTAGAAAACTTAAGAAGATGTGTGGACAGCATTTATATTTAAAATGATGAGTTAATAATAATAGAAAATGACTAAAGATATGTTTTTATTACAGTTCAATTAGTACACTGTATTAATGAATAATTTCTTTACTAAGAGTAATCTCATTATGGATTTAGTCGCTTAGAGTGTTAAATAGACCTCAAAATTGCATAATGATCAAATATTTTAGGAAGTAAATTAATCAATTAAAAATAGTATTTGTTGATTATGGGTAGCTTTAAGGCTACGACTTAAGATTTTTTAAAGAAGGCCACTTAGGTATTCTTTGAAGAATCAAATGATCTTGATTTATTGTAATTTAGCAGTAATATCATAAAAATCCATAAGCAAATGAATTGTCAAATCTTATTTATTTTACCGATGTTATTTTAATTGGAGAGTTAATACTTAGACCATCTTGTTTAGAATGGAATTTAAGATTAATAACCAGTTAAGAATAGTTCAAATTATTATTTAAAGATGATCGAGAAATTAAAAAATAAATGTGTCTATAATGGAGAAGAAGAATGCGATTGCAAGAAATGCTAGTGGTATTAAATTCTTTAGATTATATAGTATAAGAAGGAATAGAAACTCAGCAAAAGAGTCTTAAAAAAAGAAGAGAGAGGCACTAGAAAAAATAGGTCCTTTGTAGGATGAATATGATAAAATTAAAAAGAAAGTACATATATCAGAATATACTAATTAGGTTTAATCACTTGAAAAAGAAAATTAAGTTATTACAAAATTATTATTGGATGTTTTTAGACACCCATCTCTGGAAAAATTGGCATCTTAATTCATTGAGCCTCTCACTAAAATTATAGCTGATCAAGAATTCTATAATATTGACGAATGTTGATTATAAAAGTCTATTATCTATAAGTTTAGTTAATTATAAATTCATTATTACATTTTTTGTTGATATTTTTAAATTTAATTAATATTTATATAATAACTCATAATAAATCAAGTCTACGAGATCTATCCCACACAATTTTTCCATTTTATTTAAAATATTGAACTCTATGGCTTTTTAACCTAGCTGTTTGTATAATCAGAAAGAGGAACTTCCATAATTCCCAAGAATCTATCTTCACATCCAACAACAAAATCATCTTTATTGTATTTGACATCCCAAAGTATTCTATCAATAAACTAAAGAGTTGGTTTAAATTTCTTTTGCATTTCCTTCTGCTCTAAGATTTCTGGGAAATAGTTTTATATAGTTTTTTTATCCAAAATGGAACAAATAACAATTAGATAATCTTTGCCTAGATTTACATAATAATATTTGTATTCTCTCTTATAACTATTATAATATTTTTAAGTTTTACTTAGATTTGATGAAGATCTTGGAAAAATCACTCCAATACTTAGATTACTATTATTGTAATTGTTGTTCTTGATCTTTGTATTCTTTCTAATCCTTAATATCTTTTTAATCTTGTCTACTTTTCTTCCTCTTCTTTCCACCCTCATCATTCTATTATTATGGTTATTATTGTTATGTATCTTTTTCTATTTTTAATTATTTTATTAATTTTCAGTCAAATACAGTCTACCTGAATGAGTTAAATTTTAGAAAGCCATGCTTAAAGTTCTTCATTTGTCCATTCCTTTATAGATTTAATATTCTCTCTTCCAAGAGCTAGGAAATAGTTCAGACCACTATAAATGGAAATAATCGATTTTCTATCAAAATAATTTTGATGGACAGTTCTGATGTTAGGATCTGATACTTATTCATTCTTTGTGTCAGATTAATAAATTTTTTGGGTTTTTGATAAATAATAAATAGCATTGCTTCCCATTGCAACTTAAATTATATTCTACGATAATATTATTAAGTACCTCATCCTCTGGTAAAATAATTTGTTTGTATTTTTGTGCTTGATCACAATTCTGGGTTGTTAGATCTTATAATTAATACAGAATTGCTCTGGTTTAATCAGAGTGTAATTAAGGTATCTTTTAAGGAATTGAGAATATTGCAGTTAGTTAAAAATAAGAGGTTTCAAAAAACTCAACATTCTAAGCAATCAAGTATTCTTCAAGATTTTCAAATGTAATAATTAAGTCACTGTCTCTTTTAGGTATATAAATTTTCCTTTACCTGCTGTTGAGAATTATTTTACTTATAATCTTAAATAATAAGCATTTAAATAAATTACTAAATTATAAAGTTCGGTTTCTGATTTATGAGATCTTAATATTCATGCGATTGACAAATGTACAATCGATTTTGAATTGTGAGAATACCAGTATAGGTTAATCCAATTTGCATTGATTTTACTGGCATTTCTAGAATATGACGTCTTTTGAAAGGTTTGACACTTTAATCAAATGACCAAAAGTAGGTATCTCTTCCATATAGAGTACGAAATATTATGTTTTATGGAGTAGTTGTATTTGGATTATTGAATCCAATACTTGCCAAGAGTGATTTCAGGGTTAATTGCACATTTTCTTTTATTTATTTTGAAACTAACTGAAGGTTGAGCATATCCTTGATTATAAGAAAATTGGCGATGCTTCAGAATACATCAAACACTTATAACCGAGATTGCTACATTTTCTTTTATTTTATTCTTTAATAATAAAAATTAGAATTAATGTAAGAAATCAAACAAATACCATCATTTCTATCAAAATTATATGAAATTCTTGAAGTAATATACAATTTGTTATTGTTGAGTCCGAATAAAAAGCAATCGGATGGAATAAGGAAGGTACCTCATTTTAGATTTTGGATTCATCTCTATTGACAGACCAAATAATGCCTTAGTATTTCAAGCATCGCAATTATCAGAGCTTCCTTAGGTAGTTGATCAGTAATATCAAGTTAGATAACTCAATATGTATGGATTTAAGAAATTGAAAAACAAATAGGGGAAAAGTGAATTCCAACATTCACAATTCAAAAGAGGTCTCAAGTATCAATTTGAAGCGATTTTCTTTAGGAATAGTTTACTGAAGATCAAAAGGAGAAATTAAGAGGATATTAAACAAAGTTTAGAATCTTTAACCAAAGAATTTGAATAAGAATCCTATCTCAATGAGCATGCAAGACTTCGCAAGTAGCTAGTGGAATTGCAATCAAATTAAAGATCTCTCTTAGATGAGATCAGACGTTAAATGGAACGCAATCGAAATCTTCAAAGAGAAACTTAGGATGTTGCTGAGGTATAAACTATCAATCTATTGCATAGAGAATTAATACGGTGAAAAGTTATCAACTCAGAAAACTTAATAAACTAATTATCATCATTTAGAAACTCCCTGAAGATGCCCAGATTAGTAAAATGGCATTGATGAAGGAAAAAATATTGAGAAAATTAGAACTCATTGAAGAGGAGAATGTCAATATGAATATGAAGGAGATATCTCTCGAAAAATAAGACTCCTACATGTATTAAGAACCAAATCTAACTGGAGTCAAGAGTCCTGCTGGATACTCACCTAAAACTAAATGAAACCTATAATATTTATATATGTGTTTGATAATCGATAGTAAAAATATTCTTGAGTCATCAAATTACACATTAATGCAAGTCAACGTTCAAAAAATTTTCTTTAAATCTTTAATTTTACATTATTAAAATGAGAGGAGTAACCCTACGTAGATATCCAGATGAAAGTTTTCCTAAGAACATCGACTTCTTTGACTTGAAGGACTTCCCTATTCCAACAAATCTTAAGGAAAATGATCTTCTTATCAAAGTATGCTACGTCAGCATCGATCCTGTCATGAGAGTATGGTTTTCTGGAGCCAAGACTTATATTGACACTGTGCATCAAGGACAAATCATCCCAGCTTTTGGATGTGGAGTTGTTGCTGAATCAAAAAGCAAAAGATTCACCAAGGGAGATTTAGTCTTAGGTGCCCTTGACTGTGCAGATTACTGTGTTAGATCAGCTAATGCAATATTCAAATTGCCAGCAGTCAAATCAAAACATGACCCAAACTTGCCTCTCTTTTTGTCAGTGTATATTTTAATTGTGATAATTTAGTTATGGTGTCACAGGCATCACTGCTCTCAAAGGATTACATCAAATTCCAAAGGAAAATCTCCCTACCAAGGAATCCAAGAAGACCCTTGTCGTTTCTTCAGCTGCAGGATCAACAGGATCATTTGCTCTATAAATAGGAAAACATTGGGGCTATCGAACTGTTGGTATTGTTAGCAGTAGAGACAAGAAAGACTTCGTACTTTCACTAGGAGCTGACGCTTGTGTCTGTTACAATGACACCTTGGATTCTAATGGAATTGTTGATACAGAGTACTTTTATTCATAATCTTAATAGCAAATTGACAAAATTGATTAAGTAAGCAGCTCCTGAAGGAGTGGATGCAATGTATGACAATTCAGGAGAGGAAGTCTTAGATGCAATCTTACCAGCCATGAATAAGGGTGCATTCATTGTATTATGTGGAGCAACTGCTACATATTATACTTGGAAGAATAGAGGAGGATTGAAAAATTTAGCCCATTTCATCACTAAATAAATTAAAGCTGAAGGAATCTTGTACTTCGGTTAAAAGAACGCCATTATAGAATCATTTAAAGAGATGAATGAATTAGTCACAGGAAAACACATTTAGTAATATTTCTTACTTATTTGTATAGACATAAAGAAGAATTCATAAATGGATTAGAGAATGTGACAATAGGATTATAAAAGGTGTTTATGGGAAAGAACTTAGGAAGAGTTATTGTCAAACTAGACAATGAAGTTCCATTGCCAAAGTTTTGAAGCATATTTACATAACAAATTTAGAACATTCGAAAATTTCCAAAATAATATTCTTAAAACTAATAATAAATTGTTTTGATCTCACATTTCCTATTTCTCAAACCATCCAATGCGCATTCAAAAGAATTGGTTACCTAAAGATATCTTATCCAATAGGCGAAACAATTAATATTCAGAAATTACAAATATTTAAATTGCTCTAAAAATTGGATAAGTCATCTGAATATTAATTTGATAGATAATGATTATCACCTTTTTGATAATGATTACTATAGAATATCTTTCTTAAATTATCAATCAAAATTTTATAACATGATCTGTTGAGATATTATATTTTATGATTAAAAAATTAAATAAAAGGAGTAATCTTTAATCTGCCCCTGAAATAATAAGAACAAGACAGAAGCCCCATTCAGATTTAGAGATTGAGAATTTGGTTATGCAAGACATTCGAAAGAAAATTTTGAATGATGAAATGAATACTATTTAATTTTATGATATAGTGTAACCCGATTAGGATGAAATGATTGCTACTTTAAAAGACTCTTAAAAGAAACCCATTAAATTGCACAGGAGAGTATAAAGAACTGATTTGGAAAGCAAATTAAGGGCTAGAATATCTAATGAGCCAGGCTCAAAGTTATTGTTATAAGAGATGTAATACATTCAAGAATATTTGTGAGTTATGAGAAATTAGAAGAGGATCCTGGGAAAAATGCAATTCCTATACATAAGAAATTACATTAAGAGGAATAGCTTAAAGTGGATTTGCGATATAAACCTGAAAGTGAGGATCAATTAGTGGCAAATTTGGATTAATGGTACAAAGGAATAAAAAGGAAACGGAAGCAGCATCAGGATCAATTGAGATAAGAGTAAGAGAATGAAAGTACTATAATTTTAAGATTTAAAAGGACTGACTAAAGCCTAAATGTAAGAAAGAACCTAATCCTTAATATAATAAAGGAGAGGGGGTTTAAATGACAAAACCAAACCAATTTAATCTACATCCTCTTTCCCAAAATTACTAATTGATTCAGCAAAAACAGAAAATGAATAAAGCACTTTTAAGTAGAAGTTGTTGGGATCGTTGAAAAAGATTACTGCTATTAAAAAGATTGAGACTCTTCATTAAGACCCCTCTTTGAATAAATAATTAGACAAATATTTATAACAAGGATCCAATCTAACCAAATAAGAATTAGCATAGATTGAATAAGCTAAAGCCAAACAATATGGGGATGATTAAAACAATGGAACTTTAATTTTCGATTATACTGTTGAAGGATTGAAAAGTAGTTTACACACTATGATTAAAATGTAATTCACATCCTTTCAAAATGCAAGTGATAGAGCAATATTCTATGAAAAATAAACTAATTAAATTTTATTATCCATAAATTAAAGACTTGATAGACAAAAAAATACAGTAAAGAGGAATGAAAAAGACTTAGAAATATTGAGAATTGAAAATCATGAAATTCATAAAAAATTGAGAGGAATTTAAGATTTTGTAATAAACTGATTTTTTATTTTAGTTAAAAGAGAGAAAGGAGGAACTTATTGGAATTAATAAAAAACCATAGCAGTCTATTAATTCACCTAATATAAAACATAACTCCAGTTAAGTTGATAATTATATGGTCATTGCAATTAAATAAAATGAGTTAGAGGCTTAAATTGAATAGATGAAGGATAATTATAATAATTTTTCAGAATAAATGAAACTAAATTCAATGTAAATAGAAAAATTAGAGTAAGAAAACTCTAAACTTAATAAGAACAACAAGACGCTTCTAAAATCTATTTAAGGCTTTCTATTAGAGCTTCTTAAATTAGGCTTAGATTGTCGATCTTAAGGTTTATCTTGGATAATTAAGGCGATTTGGGATTCAGGCGAAAAAATAGCAGATTCAAATTTTCCTACTTATTTAGATAGCAAGGCCAGAGATTTTCTTTTTATTCGGGCTAAAAAAACAATAGAACTAAATGATCTATATAAAAAAGCACACTTCTTATTCAGAAATTATAGAGACACTACAATAGATACAGGAAACAATTCAGTCGTGTCTCTGTTATCAAAAAATTATTTTTCTTAAATTGATTCAATAGAAATTAAAAAATAGCATATTGATTAAATAAAATAAAGATAATAAAATAATGTAGCCTTATTAACAGAAGGATTAAGCCCAACTGAACATAAATTAATAGAAAAAGCATTTACATAGATATTTTAAAGTAAAGAAACCCAAAACGATATAATCTATTTGGAAGCTTCAAGGAAGATATCAAAAATGTTTAAGTAAGAAGGGTCTTAAGAATAATCTATTGTGTTCAGTGAGATAAACAACTTTGAAAAGGATAGGCTGATAAAGGAGTACCAATAAATTCAAAAGGATATTGAAATGAAAGAGAATTAATTTTAAAAATTGGAAGAAACAGAATTGTAGAGATTAATAAAGGAAATTGATTATAAGAATTATTTGGCAAGGTTAGAAACTTAATATTTTATAGATTTAACATTGAAGCATTGTAAGTATTGGCAGCACAATTTGGATATTAAAAAGCAGAGAGAGAGTTGATTAAATATGGGCTGTTGCATAAAATTGTGAATAATTGAGAATATAAATATTTATCAAGATGTTCCTTTATATATAGGTGTAATTTAGTTTTGAATTTCCATAATGATTTTAAATTACTATTTGGTTTTTTTGGGATGAGTTTGCAGTTGGATAGCCATTTTAAGTCTCCAATCTCCTCAATTTTTGGGTAATCTTCATAAGGCACCTTCAAAATATAATGGATAATTGACAAAATTTGAAGAAAATGCATTCAGTTTGGCCCTAATTTATTTATTAAGTTTGGTAACCTAAATCATGTAGACTGTAATAATTAAGAATCAATGTCCTTTTAGTTATTGATTGTTTATAAATATACTATTATGGAGAAATAGATCATATAATAATTTAATAATGATTTTATTTAATAAAATATATCATCATCGCTTTTGTTTCCATATCTTATCATACAATTACAACTCCTCTAGTGAAATACTATCGAATAATAGCACATCTTCCTTATACACGATTATTCTTTTTTAATTTTCAAGTTGAATGACATAGTATTGTAACTAGTCATTTTTGTTCATTATTTATCCTATTACATCGCATGTTTCTAATTGTTTCGATCCATATCTGCATCTCAAATACACCAAATGTTAATTGAATTTTAATAATTATTTATTCTTTAATATTTAATTGTTGTCCAGTGATAATAATCTCTGGTTGTTTTCTAATAACTCTTTAATAGTTGTTGCAGTAGTCTATATTTCTTTTATCAATTTAAATTATTTGGTTATCTGATATTGAATGTTTCGAACGTTCCCAAAACTACTGAATTTCAATCTTAATATCAAAGTTTCTAGAAATATACAATATCATTACATGTTCGTAGCTATTATAAAAACGATCCTGCATTGTCTAATAAGTATAATCTGTTATTCTGATCAACAAACAAGATATCATATGAGTTGTACTTGAGATAATGGTTTATCAACAAATTATTGAAATAATCTGTTAAATCAACACTTTATTCGTAATTCTCATCAGAAATCAAAACTTTTAAAAATCTAACATCTCCGCTTTCTAATTTTTCTCTCCTCATCTATTTATGACTTACCTTTTCATTTGGAATGAACAGATTCAATACTTCTTATTATTTTTGTTTATCTTAGGTTAACTTCAATAAAATATCAATCAAATAAATTTATTAATTACCAGCCAATAGGAACTTTTGATATAATTCATCCAAATTACATGATGCAGGATTTAATTTAAAATATTGCATCATCAATTATCTAAATTCTGTCTAAGATAAAGAATTCCCTCTCTTAAAAGCATCTGGATGTGCTAAGAAGTTATGTTAAACCTTGAATTGTGATGCAAGGTCATTAAAATTACTTATAGCAGTATCCTTGCTAATCACTCTTTCATATGGCAATCCTTCTCCAACAAGTAGAATGGAATATTCCAATTCAGATATTTGATAGTGTCTTTGCATATCATAATTGTCGTTTAAGATCAATGAGTTCTTGTAAATGGTGTTTATCATATAGTAGCCTAAGTCAATTTATCCTTTAAAATTGTCGTTTATTTAAATTTCCAAAATAGACGAAGCAAATGGCAATTCAAAATATAATCCATCTTATTCACTTTTTCTTTGGTTCTAAATTGTAACCACATTTTATTCATGAAATGTTATTTGGTGTAAATGCAAAGAATGAATCAAAATATGGATTTTCTAAATCTGTTATTTGAACAGAAACTTCGATTAGTTTCTTGGTAAACTTGCTGATTACTACTATTATTCTTGGATCTCATAAATGGAGCCTTCGTGTTCTTCAGGAACATCAATTATAAAGCTTTATTAATGTGGTTTTTATTGTTAAATCTACTCATTGCAAATTTACTCCAAAGGGTTACCATTTGAAGTCAAAATTTCAAAAATTTACTCATCATTATTTAGATATACAAATTCTTGTTGATTATAGGAGTCATAACATGCCATTATCAATTTCTCAGGATCACATAATAACTTACCATAAATGGTCAATCCTGTGATGAATTCTTCTTTGGTTCGATATTATTTATAGTCCACTTCAGTTAGAATTCCACCAATTACACTAGCTATTGCTTTACTCAAATCTCCATTGACAAAACCAATTCCAATTATGTAATCAAATACTCTTAACCATATATCAAAATAAAAGAAATCACTGAATAGATTATTCAAATGGGTTCTCAACCATTCAACATCAATTTAATCATGTTAAATCTTAGGAATCATCAATTTGTAATCCAAACATTGAATTACTTTAAATACATAATCATCACAAGGTTGCATCCTTTAAGATAAAAGTTAAAACAGTCTTATAGTCAAAATCATTTTATTTTTTGTATGATTCCACAATTCAAAATAATCCAAGAGATATGGAATATCATTTTTCCATTACTGCATCTTTTTTATATATTGATCTGTCCAAACAGTCGTCTGTTTAAATTATAAACTGTTGACATAGTTCTACATTTTATTACGATTCAGTTCTTTGATATCTTAATCTATAATTTTCATTTGATAATATTTTTCTAAAATGTTTTCGTTTTCATTCCATTCCAATCCAAAATCTTATGCATATTTTTATACTTTTGTGTTAAATTGTAAGAAAATAGGAATTAAATCAATCCTAGATTGTTAAGTAAACCCTTTCTTACAGGCATCAATTATTTTATTTTTAACAAAACACTATTTATTTTGAATTGGGTTGAGTTACAAGTATTCAGCCAATAAGGCAGATTTATTTTTTTTTTCCCCTGTTCCTAATTCTTCTACGATGTACTCCTGAATTTCAATCAAATCATCATCTGACTATTTACTATTAACCCATATTTATCCTCTAGTTTGAAGAGCATTCTCCAAAGATTCAATCTTAAAGGAATTCCACTTCTCTTACAAACTATTGCAAGGAGTTTTCAATTGTTTAACAAAATTCTTCAACTCTTAGGCTGTAAAAGGCATTTCTATAATATCTAAATAAAATGGATTAACAGTAGAATTCTAAATCTAAAATGGAGAGTCTTCATGGATGTCTATTTATAACAGAGGGACATTCAATAATTCATTTCCTGTTGCATTTTATTATAGATTGGCTGACACATCTAAACCCGTAAAATGTCTTCGATTATTATTTAAGTTTTTCTCAAATTCAAGTAAGTGTATTTTACCTTGCATAACCTTCTTTGCAGCAGCCAAAAAAGCCTAGATATTATTTTATTATTCTTAGGTTCTTGCAAGGATTTTCTCATTCACTTCTTGATAGTCATCATAAATCACAATTTCTAAGACATCCTAATTCTAAAATCCCGATAAAGTAACCTATAAATCAGTTGTCCATCCCTTCATATCTAATTACATAAAATTGATCAATTAGCCTTTGTCAAATTCTATTCTACCATGACCTTTTTAATCTGAAGCTTTAAATTGAATATATAAGATTGGATTATATAACTTAAGATGTTATCCTATAATTAATTTAAAATTTGTAAGATGTAAATCTTTGTGTTAAGGTAACTGTTGTTGTTATTATTATTGTTATTATTGTTGTATATGTGACTACTACTATATTTGAGAGATCCTTTATTATTCATTTTCAATATCTTCAATCTCTTATTACAATTTCCTTTCCTCTTCTTCTAATTTTCTTTATTCTTCTTCTTCTAAATCTTCCTTCTATTTTAATATTTTATCAGCAATCTGCTTCCAATGGTTCAGTAATTCCCTGGCTGCTGAAAGCTCTTTTTACTTTATAAATTTCTCTTGTTCTTGCAACTTCAAAAGCTTTTATTGCTTCAAGATTGACTCCTAATGAATTTTCTCCTATTCAGCCATTTTGTATAGAATCTTCAATGTTTATTCATATTTTGTTTTATCATAATCCTGCAATTCATCAAATTCTTAGATATATTGATTTTAATCTTTTAGTTTTTTTTATTCAATTTTAGATGCCTCATTATGTATTTTTTCAACTTGTCTTGAGATGATAACTAAACCTGATTTTTTATACCACACTTTCATGATTTTATTGAGCAAATCTTTGGAGTGATTAAGTTTCTGTTAATTTTTGAACTTCAAAAATTCTACAAATCTCAACCCCATATCAAGAGTTTCAAAATAAACAGCAGTTGGTTTTTAAAATTATTGTATTTATCCATTATTCTACCCATTATTATGTCGATCAAATAATACTCTAACTATTTTGTTCTAATTGCTTGTCCATCTAAAAAAAGCTTTTTGATTTTCAGGTAATATATCAAATTCTTACTAATTTATTAAATGGCAATACTTTAGTGATCAAAAAAAACCCAGTTGGGTAATTTATGGATTTATTATTTTTAGTCTGCACCATATTTTGTTCATCAAGTCGAACTTATCTAGGCAATAATTTTCCATGCGGCTTCGGTTGTTTTTCCATTTCAATAACTTAACCTGTAATAAATTTTCTTGTATCCTTGTTGTGAGCTTATTGGAAACTCTTTGTAAATATTGCAGAATAACTCATAAATAATAATGTAAAAAATGTTAAGTCAGATAATATTAAAGTTCGTTGATAAAGAGATAAGATATTATTATTTGTATTAAATGATTATAATGTGTAACTTAACTCATTCAAGGTAAGCAACATAGGATTCTCTTTGAACACCACATGGGTTACCAGTGGCGGGTAATCTGATGTATCCTGCTTCTCCCCATGATGTTCCCCATGAATTCTTGATAATCCAAACTCCGTCCTCTTAGAAACCAGTAGCCAAGACAGCATGGTTTAATGATTTGTAAGTACATTTAGTGAAGACACCACTCTTATAGTTTTACCATGAATTGGCATCAACAGCAACAGTGATTGGTTAATAAGAAAGTGCTGTGTACATGTTATCTGCAGCTACAACTTAATATCCTGATGGTTTGTATTAACCAGTTGAATATTTGCATTGTTTGTTTTGAACTCCATCATATGGATATTATTTGTCTGTGGTGAGACCATTCTTTTTAGCCCATTGAATACCCAAATTTTCAAAACCACCATTGCATCCATTGTTTGTACCTTTATCACAATCAACTAATTATTATTCTGATAACCAGAGATCTTTTGAAATGACTCCCTTAATTGTCAAAAGAGTTTCTACTGCACCAACAGCAGAGAAAGCCCAACATGAACCACAGTTACCTTAGTTCTTGACTGATGTAATCTTTGACCAATCAGCTGATGCCTTAAGAGGTCCTTATGGGACATATAATTCAGCATCAAGATTCATGGGGGATTCTTTTCTTGTCAAAAGTAAGGCAGCGAATTCTTCATTTGTCAAATCGGTGAATTAGGTTTCTCCGAAAACAGTTGTGCTATTTTCTTCGGAATTCAAGATTTGGATTTATTTCATTGCATCTTAATAAACTTAGAATCTGTAAGCTCTCTCGGCTGGTGTGTAGAATTTGCCGAATTGATTTGTGTATTTATCAAATTACACTCTTAAATCCAAAGATTCTGGTTAGCTAAGTTAGTGGATGCCAACTGTTAATAATGTGATGGCTGCTAATGCTAATAATTTGTTCATTATTATTAATAATCCTTTCCTTTTTAATTTCCTTTTATAATTGGAGTGGTGACATCATCGTTAAAAAATAATTACAATCTTTAAATTAATCTTTATTAATCAAATGCACTATAAGATATTACTATTATGCACTCTCTAATTAAAAAGGATCTTCCTATGACGACATCCTTATTTTCTCATCAAAAATTGATTAATATGGCTCAAGTACGTCTACTAATTTTGTGATGCTTACAATTGGAATATTTTGAAAAACCCAAAATTATCATCCAAGCTACCTCACATCTCTAAATATATCCATGGTTTCTTTATTGATTTATAAATACCAACTAATTGTTTAAGCTAATTTTAATAACTATATTTTGGAAATAATATATTAACAGCTTCCGGTTACTCTAAAACATATGGAAGCTTCTTAAATGCCCTTTAAACTCGATTCTTCTTGAATTTTAATCATTTTTACACTTAAGTTTGAATTGAAATAGAAATGTAAAAATTGGAAATCAAGTATCATAATTTATTATAAGGGAACTTTAAAAAGGGTTTCTAGATACCATCTTAAAAAATCATAAGTAGTATAAAACAAAAAGATATTTAGGGATAATTTTGATAGTGTCATTTAATCATTTAAAATATCAATAAGATTATCGTAAAAAATAATATTCATTTAATATTCATGTAAATTAATGATTAAAGTGAAAAAATTATAACTATCTGAAATCATTTCTTTATTTGCTATTTGCTAAAAGAATAGTAGCAATTTTGTTCACAAATTATTTATTTATTTAAAACATGACGAATAATTGTTTTAACTCCATATAAATTTGAATTCTATTTAATATTACTTTAAATATTTGTAAGACAAGAAATGATGATTACATTTGTTACTTAAGAATAACTTTTCTTTTTAAGATGATATTATTCACAAAAGAGAATGATCATTAAAAAATTAAATGACCTTTCATATTCTTATAATTAAGGTTAAGGTCTAAAGTTCAAAAATGAAAATAATTTTTTGAGTTCAAACAGATTGAGAAAGAATTAAATAAATAAGAAAATAAATAGAAACGAGAATCAATTTTTCCTAGTTTGCCTAATTAGAACTTATTTAATATATTTTAGAGTAAAACTTGTTTCGCAATTAAGAACAGAAAAAGAAAATTTGTTAAAGTCAAAATATCATTCTGGTGTCATATAAGAACCGAAAAGCAACTTTATGCTATATTATTCAATAGAAGGATTGAATTCCTAATTTGATGATCTCTTAAGCCCGTAATTAAAAGAGAACTATATAATAATTTGAAGGCTTGCTATTATCGAAATAGGATGAGAATATAAAGTAAATGAAAGGGCTGATAATTTAAAACTTTTCTAAGAGAAGGATAAATATAAAATAATTGCCACTTCATTCAAGGCTGACTATGTGGGATTTAGTGAGTTGCTGAAAATCATATCATTAAGATTGAGCCTTGTTGGTAAATTTTATGAATAACATTGAATGAATCTCTAAATGGGATTTAATAAGATTAGGTAGAAAGAAATCAAATTAAATAAATTAATTACTTAGGATTGTGTTGAATAGAGAGAACCATTAAAATACGTGATGCTAATAAGATCAATTTAAAAATAGTATAAGCATTTATATAATAAGCCACTAGAGAATGGAAATATTAAAATGTATTGAATACTTACTTTTGTCTTTATTAAAAATATTCTT